TCTTCATTCTTGGAGAGAACACCATGTCTAGTTCCCTTTCCACCGTTCAACTGTTTGGTTCCAAGATAATTCATTGGGAACTCCTTGGTTGCGCTCTTGATGGTACCAATGAAGCGAAGGCCAATGCCGGAAAGCCTCTTGGCTGCTGGACCGATTCAATGTAGGAGCCAGCCACCACAATCCTGCCGCTGATAGCCCATGGCTTGACCAAGTCATATAGGACGTTGCACCTGTGGAGGAACTTGTGGTGTGACACGGGATTAGAAGTTCCGGTGGCAGTTGCAAGAATAATAAAGAATAATGGCAATGTTCTTCACGCAAAAACCTCAGTTGAGTTACGGGTTCGTTGCTTCCTTGGCACCAGTTGCTTCATGCTGTTCCTTCTCCTTGTCGAAGCTGCAATGGCCGCTGCCGACTTACGAACTTAACCAACTTGAGCTGTAGCATAACTCCCGAAGTACCACAGGCAGAGTTCTGGATCTCGCATCCATCATCAGGCTTCCGTCCAATTGCAACATACTGCGGCAGTCCAATGTTGATCCAGTGTCCACCCAATCCATACGAATGGCAGCATCCGAAGCTAGCCTCTAGAGGGGTTCCAGTACTGTACCGATACCTACCGTACAAGTACCAGGGAGGAGCAGGAAAACGCATTACACTACTACACAAGCCATTACACACTACATGCAAGTACTATTTTATAAGGGCATTCAACAAGCTACCCTTTTTGGTTACATGAGCACTCAACAAGTTGCTCCTAGATTGGTTGGTTGTTGTAGTTGTTTACAGTGTGCCTAACACACATCAAAGCCATGGCTGTTGTTGAGTTTGTCTAGTGATGAGGGGTCAGGTTGTTGTACTCAATATCACCCTTCTTCTTGCCCTTGGCATGCCTCTTCCTCATGACAAAGGATTGAGCTACCCTTTTCTTCCTTTTCTCAGCCAAGTCAACATGGCAGAACAATGCACCAGACTCAAAGCTGGGGAAGGTCACATTCAGGGTAGAGGGATCAACTGGAAATGGGAGCTCCATGGTGAATTCTGAAATGACATCACCTCTGACATCAAGAATGGATCTCACATACTGCTGCATGGCATGGCGCCTCACATTGGTATCCTCTAGGTTTTCCTTTGTGTGTTGTTGATAGAGATAATAGAACTCCCCAATATCCAAGAGGTCTTGGTGCCACTTCTCACTGATAGTCAGCTTCTTGCCATTCGCAGAGACCATGGTTTCGATGTCGGCTTCAGTCGCGCCACTGCTGAGCCACACAATGATAGTCACATGGCGAATGCCATGTTTGTTCTCCCATTCCTTGACCATCCTCTTCGGTTTCCAAGTAGTGGGGCCATCCTCTTCGGTAACATCATCCTCATCGTCGTTGTCAGCAATGGAGGGAAGCTGCGCAACTGCAGGTGGCCTGGCTGCCACGACAGGTACTTGGTTGCGAGGAACAAAGCTGGGAAGAATGGGTAGTGGTCCATCATCATCTTGTGGTGGTTGTGGTCCTCTGAGAGCAACACCAGCAGCCATTCCTCTGGCTTTGTTGAACTGAGAGCGAAACTGGTTTGTGGAGTACTTCTGGAATCTCTCATGCATGGCTCTCACAGCGGCGGGTTGTTCATCAGTGATGGTTCCATTGTGGAACAGTCGAAGCAGAAACTTGAAGTCGGCGCCGTCCTGCTTGAAGATGTGCTTGACTGGTTCATTGCCCTTCTTGCCTGGAGCGTTCTTTCTGGAGGACATGGTCGCTTCTTGCTTGGCCAATTGCTGTTGCTTTGATCAATGGACCCTTCCCTTGTGGTGAATGGGTTGATATTGCATTTCTTTGTCATCTTTGGTCCACATGTTTGAGGGAGATGAGAGAGCTGTTGGCTGACAAAGGGTACAGGGGGTATCTCAGTACTTTGACTGCCCATGGCGACACCTTGACAATCAACAACAGACTAGCAGGAAGGCTCTTGCAAGGGCCAGGCACGAATGTGTCAATAGGAGACTCAAGGAATGGGGCTGCCTCCTTCAGAGGTGGCGCCATTCCCTTGATAAACATGGTAAGATGGCCCATGCTGTGGCAACATTGTGCAGCTCCAGATCATGGACCGGCCAATGTGGCAGGTGGAGTACTATGATAGAGTCGAACAATGAGTTTGACTTTGATTATTAAAATAGTTTGTAGTTACTCTAGTTGTAGCCTCACTATTAGCCATAGCATTGACAGTCAACAACCAACCAGTCTACTCAGGTGTGTAATGCTTGTAATGCGTTTTCCTGCTTCTCCCAGTACCGGTACTGGTACCAGCCGTACAGATTTCCAAGGGGTCCTCGATCGTCCTTCGACTTTTCTCAATGCAACTCGCTGGCTTATTTCTGGTCGGCTGGGATCGAGGACCAACATCCATCTTCAACTATATTCAACCCATCACGAAAGGCAAGATGATGCTCCCTGTTCGGCCTTCCTCCTTGTTCTCCCACCGTGGAGTGCTGCTGATCATTCTGTGCATCCTCAACGACAGATCTCGGGCCCTGACGGCAAGTCGCAATCGCCATGGAGACAGCAGAGCAACAACGACCTCTCCTCCCGTCACCCAGCTGTCCCTTGCTCGAAGATTCCGTGATGACAAGGGATATGAACATGAGCACGACGAACTGTCACGACAAAGATCCACGGATCGACCTACATTGCGAAAGACACAACTGATTGGACCACCCATTATGCCCGGCAAACCGAAGATTGTTGTTCTTGGAGCGTCGGGTCGAATTGGCCGTTTGGTAGTACGACAACTGCTGGAGATGAAGCATCTGGACGCCACCATCATTGCCTGTGTAAAGGATTACGACAAGGCGTGCAGAGTTCTGTACGATGACATGTCTCTCGCCACCCGACAAAATTCCAAGGGACCTCGACTTACCATTGTGGAAGCGAATTTGGTGCCACCGAAGAGCTGCCGTTCTATCTCGAAGATGAAGAAGAAGAGTTAGAATGGCGTGAAAGGGCAGAATCTGCTGCTCAATTCTACAATACATCTGTTTCAAAATACGACAACCGCGAAGAAGTGCCCATTGCGGATTCCAATGAAGCTCTGCAAGACGCTATTCAAGATTGCACCACAATCATCAGCTGTGTGGGTTCTGTTCGTCCGACCAATCTGTGGACTGACCATTTGGCAAGACCCTTATGGCGATGGTTGAAGCCCGATGTGTCTGGTTGGTGTAAAGATGCCCGTCATCCGTACTATGTACACTTCCAATCTACCCGAAAGATATTGGGATATGCGGAACGAGAGCAACTGCGACGAGAAGCAGCCGTAGAGATGGCTCTGGAGGAGGAGGAAGAAGAAAGGAAGAGCCCGTGGTGGTGCCCAAAATCCGATACATTCGAGTCTCGGACAACTGCCTCTGTCAGCCGGTCTGGGAGATGGTGCCACTTTTGACAAACATCTTTCGTTCCAACGTGTTTCGATATCATGACATGGCCGAGCGTCTACTCGAATCTTCTACATTGATTGATACTGTGATTTTGAGACCTGGAGACCTTGTAGACAACGAACGAGTAAGTTTCACGTGCACAAAAACGACAGATACACAAAAAATGCTTTATACTGACGTGTTGTGTTGTGCTGAGCGATGTAGGACGTGAACACGACGCACATCCAGGTCGATCCCAGCGGCGATATCCCAGCACCCGCGATTGTGGGCCGTGAGGATGTTGCCTCTCTGGCGGTGGCATCTGCTTTGTTTCGATCTCCTCGACAGAAAGAAGCTGAAAAGGTGGACGTTTCAGAATCTGATACAGGTTCTACTCAGACTCAACAACACGATCCTTTTCACTGTAAGCTTGCCGTTCGTTGGGTCGGCAGTGATATGCATCCATATCCAGCACAAGGGAAAAAGAAGGATGGCTTTCGTACCGCTCAAATCTCTTTGCAAAAAGCGCTGGCGGTGATTAAGAAGGCCGAAAAGAAGGAACGACGTATCGAGCTGCGAAGGCAGCGTACGATGCTGTCGTCATCGTTGGTGGAATCGTATCCAGAAACGGTCGTGAGGCTAGCCCAGAACTTTCAAACTCGACGAAAGAAGCGACAATTAAAGCCTTACGGCATTGCGTCTGCAATTCCAATCTACTTGATGTTGGCATTGGCCACGCGATCGCTGGGACGACTTCTTTGGACGGTTCTCTGCACCCAAACATGGGCCCAGCCTCTGGTGACTCTTATACAGAAAGTTTCGGCCATGTTGATTGCTTTCTTGGCACCTCATTTACAAATCCTACAGCAGTTCCTGGCACGGCATATTCCACGTGGTTTGCGAAGGGCGTTTGGATCCAAGCAGTACATTAGCTTTTGAGGAGTGGTCAAGGGGTGAGTGGAGTGTGGATGGATTGCAGGTTGAAGAACCCGACACAACTTGTCTCAGAATCGAATCAAATCAAGCCTGTGTCAGACGGTGATACTGTACACGACAAGACTTCACGAAGTGTGCTTCCTGAAGGAGCTCTCCAAAATCTGGTGGAATGTTATGTTCGTCTTTTGTACCCCAGATACTTCACCAATGATGTTACTTTATCAAATCATTCTAGGCTTTTGCGCCCTGGTGATACCGACAACGTAACTACGGATAGCTGCTGCCTGCAGAGGCAACAAGCACCGGTACCGGTAATAGCTGCCTACCCGTGACTTTTGTCGTCATTTCCTATTCTTCATGTTTAGCTAGTTGCTTCCATGCATGGCTCGCTGCTTTGTTCATCATTTGCTGTTGTTGCTGAGCTTGTGCTTCATTCATTTGCTGCAGCACAAACGCAATCTTCTGTTGTGATGATCATTGCAACACATCGACCCGATCCGCGCAGCTCATTCCTCCCACGCAAGGAACATTTGATACGTAGTTAAGGTAAAATAGGGCTAAAGTTCAAAAATCAAATTGTACATACCAGCCAGTTACCGTAGATGCTAATGAAACTTAGTTTACCGCATCTACCTGAGTTTCAAAAATGGCGTCATTTTTCTTCGTGGACGACGAACCTTCTCTCATCTCAAACGGACGAACCTTCTCTCTCACAAACAGGGTTCAGCGGTGTGCCAGTCATCCATTTCTTTGCCATCGGTTGGTTGCGTTGTTTGCTGCTGTCAAGATGAAGAACCGCCGCAATAACAAGAAAAAAGGAGGCCGAAAGAAGGGCAAGAAGCCTGCCGAGGCCGAGGCCAACAATGACAACAAGAACAAGAGCAACACTTGTGGTCGAGCTCCAACGTTGACGGCAGAGCTTTCCAACATGGAGAAGCGTGGTCTATACCTTCATGGAATGCCGACAGGATATGTTGATGCAGTGAGTGGTGACGCTTTGCAAGCTTTCCTGGACGACTTGTTCTCCGGTTGGCGCAGCAGCATTACTGACCTGCAGATGCTACACCTGGCCCACCCTATCTTGGATCAACCAGGCATGGCCCAGTTTCTTTATGGACTTGCAGCAATGTATTTGATTCAAGGGATTGTTGATACATCCAAAAATGATACTCCCCTCTGGAAGGTTTTCGGAGCCGCAATTTACACTGACAAATGTGAAAAGCCTTCTCCTACGGATCAGAGGTGTCAGCTGATTGGAAAGGCAGTTCGTGTGCAATGGTACTTTGTCAAACATATTGGAAGCCTGAAAGACATAGTTGTCTACTTGGACAAGAAGGTCCCTTGTGACTGCTTGGGGGGAGTAAAAAAGGTGGCCCTCGAGGTTGAAGAGGATCGACATTGTGACCAATGCAGAAGGTACACGAAGAACGCCATGTGGTGTTCAGAATGCATCATGGCGGAGTATTGCAGCAAAGAATGCCAGATTGCTCATTGGCCGAAGCACCGAATTCAATGCGACCTTTTCTGTGGAAAGATCACAGCAGCCGAATTCGAGCGGCTTCTTGGGGAACTGTAATGTGGGCAACAGTGACGACCACCAGGGCGGCAGCAACAACAACGACAACGATGAACAACGGCGACAGCAGCAACAAAACAGACGCTTGCACAGGGAATGTTTTTTGGGTGCGTTCATTGCATTCCTTTCATGAAAATCGGAGCAATCGACGGTCCTAAATACTTTGCCTCCAGAAAGAGATGGTAAGATATTATAGAATTGAATTTTAGCAGCAGAAAAGTTTGAGAACCACAACGCAGTCTCCAAGTCTTGAGCTCTCTCTTTCATATAACATATTCATGTGAAAGAACATAGAACGGACGATTCAATCATTGCCCAAGTCAAGAATTCTGCACGGATTCTTCCCGACAGCCGAAAAGCGCATTCTTGCCGTGGCTGCGGTCAAGTAGCGACATTCTCAATGCTGAGTTGAGCTCCCCTCTGCATGATGGCTTTAGGTAATGTTGGGAATCAGGTGGCTGGTTGGTTTTCTACTACCGTACAGAATCAAGCTATCTGCAACGTCAAGTGCATGAACTGGCTGTTATACGGTATGACGGTGATTGCCAAATCGATTCCATTCGATTCAGCGAGGGGCCAGCCAGAACATTATCACCAGGAAGAATGCTTCCCATATGACCCGAAAAGATTCATAGCTATGAATTACTGTCCTCTACTAGTTACGGTATGTGCAATTTTTCCAGGATGGATTGTCAAGAGCTGGCACTAAAATAGTGAGTGCAATGAATTCTCGTTACCGCCCAACACAAAATTTGCTATCTCTTGGATGATCTGGATCGCGTAGCTTTGAACTTGGAATGATGTTTCTTTTTGGAATTTGTTTCCTTCAATCGCTCTTTTCGTTGTTGCTTGCGTTGCACCTTGGCGGCATCTCGTTGTTGGATTTTTGCTTCGCCCTGTTTCGCTTGTTCTTCTCCCTGTGATTGGAGTGTATTTTTGAGATGCAGCTGCAAGGCTGCAAATGGATTTTCTTGAAAGGCGGGATGTTGCAACACCAATCCCATGTGATGCAATTCCGATGCCACAATGTTGCGCTTGGCCTTGTTGGTGGTGATGGCGGATTGTTCTGGCTTGTCTGCTGGTGGCTTGTCTGTGCTGACAGGTTTTTCACGGACAGTTTCCATCAAAGCTTGCTTGAGAGCATCCAGACCATCGATCCGTTTCTTTTGTTGATCTTCCTCTTTTAATTTGAGGGATGAGAGAATCATTCGTTCTCGTTTCAGATATTGTTCTCGTTTGGCGAGACGTCTCCGTTGGCCTCGACTGAGTGCTGTAGTATTGTCTTTGTTGTCCTTGGTTGCTGCTGCTGACTTGTCTGTACCCTCGGATACTTCATCATTAGTTGTACTGGTTGTTTCCTTTTCCTTGATGTTGTGAGATTTCTTGGATTGTTGCTGCATGATCTGGGTAAAGCTCTTGGATCGTTCCACTTTGCGACGTGGTCGTGTCTTGTTCTTGTCGTCACTGGTATCCATACTTTCGTCTTGTTCCTTGCGTTTCGTTTCCTTCATGTCCACCTCCATGGAGGCTGCCGCGGCAGCAGCCGTCTTGCGGAATTTACCAACCTTGCTGACCTTCGGCATCTTGCTTTCAATTCTATTGTGCTGTGGATAGAAACGTGTGAGAATGAGCTTTTGTTGATGAGTTGATGCATGAGGAGCCAGATCCAATTCCTTGGACCAGATTGAGTCACTTGTTTTGTTGAGTCACTACTGTTCACACGCAGTGTTACGGTTCCCGCCCGGCTCGAGCAATCTGATTGGTCCTAGTTCTCTTCGATTCGAATGATTCAATCTATTCAATTCGATTGAATGATTCGATTGAAGAACGATCTAATACCGGATCCTTACTCTTTGTGACTAAAAGACTATGAGGGCACCGAAGCAGTCACACTTTAAATCACACTTCCCCTCCTGGGAGTAAAGGAACCATGTTTGGGCAAGGATCCTCACATTTTCCATTTCAGTCGAAAAATGCACATCCATCTTTTAGCACAAAAAGCTTTTGTTGATTGGGGGCTTTCATCTCTCACTATCCTACTGATCCCGAATGCTCAGTCAGGCATAAATAGCAGGGCCGCTGCATGGCGCAGAGAGTTGCCGCATCCTCGCAAACTCGACGCTTCGTCGCAGATACGCGCGTCCTGTTCGGCCACTTGACGCATTGCCTGCCAACAGCTCCGCAACAGTGTTGTATCAATGTGGGTTCTATCAAATGCTTCATCACTGTGTTTGACAGAGCCAAGCCTCCATTTCTGGTTTCCGAGTCACGATTGTACAAACGAAGCAAATCGCGTGCTATCTCCAAAACGCCGCGTTCAGAGTGAGCTGAGGAAGAATCGAATCACGAACGAAAAAGGCGCAAATCATCATTCAACGCCCCTTTGAAGTCTGGTGCGCTTTGAATATGGAGACTTTCATCGTCTAGTCACGATTTATCCAAATAAATGGGAGGGCTTGTTTGCTCAACATCTCTGTGGGACCCGTTGATCAGATGCTCACATCCATCAGATCCAATTCCTGTGCATTCAAGTGCGTTCAGAATATTGCATTGGATAAGACAAGGATTCTCGATTGTGTATTTACCCATGGCTTTGTCTCATAATTTTAATTCTCGAGCCTCGGACAGCTTCCAAATTTCCTGTTGCAACTCGTGTACACAAAGCATCAAAGGATGAAACTGTATGCCCACACGCTATTCATTGCTGCTGCGAGCCTGTTCGTCTCGGGAAGCTCAGCAGCCGACAAAGGGTTTTGCTATGACGGGTACCGTGCCGGCCCACCCAAAAAATGCCATGGCAATAAGGTAGGCACTGATGTGACGCACGCGGAGTGTGTAAGACTAGACAATGGAAAGTGTTGGTCAAAACGAAATGGAATTAACGTGCCTGGCAGCGACGCTCGTGAAGGAGCCTGCTTTGAAGTTTACGTTCCTGGGCAACCCCCAAGGTGCGACGGTACCTTCTATCCCGGCCAAAAGAGCAAGCACGAGTGCTTGTGTGAGCACGGAGGCATGTGCTGGATCTCTCCTGGCGGAAGCGCAGAAAGGACGACGGCCGGTCGTCGTCGAACTATGCTGCGACAATTGCAAGCTGATCCCTCTTGCCCCCCCCCGGTGATGTCGATTGCATTTGTGAGGACCCAACAGTTGGAGGTGAGCCCAGCTTTTTTAAGTGCACATTTCTGTTGATCGAACGAACCCAGACCACTAACTTAAATCTTCAAGGCGAGCCTCACTTTAAGACTTGGGCCGGAGAGTGGTTTGATTACCATGGTAAGCAAAGATTCCACCCACTCAGTCTGGTCAACTGCATCAACACGCTCAACAGGTTGCTGCTACCGTACAGGAGAGTGCGATCTTGTATTGATGGACGCTCCCACTCGCTGGCTTATTTCTGGTCAGCTGGGATCGAGGACCAACATCCATCTTCAACTATATTCAACCCATCACGAAAGGCAAGATGATGCTCCCTGTTCGGCCTTCCTCCTTGTTCTCCCACCGTGGAGTGCTGCTGATCATTCTGTGCATCCTCAACGACAGATCTCGGGCCCTGACGGCAAGTCGCAATCGCCATGGAGACAGCAGAGCAACAACGACCTCTCCTCCCGTCACCCAGCTGTCCCTTGCTCGAAGATTCCGTGATGACAAGGGATATGAACATGAGCACGACGAACTGTCACGACAAAGATCCACGGATCGACCTACATTGCGAAAGACACAACTGATTGGACCACCCATTATGCCCGGCAAACCGAAGATTGTTGTTCTTGGAGCGTCGGGTCGAATTGGCCGTTTGGTAGTACGACAACTGCTGGAGATGAAGCATCTGGACGCCACCATCATTGCCTGTGTAAAGGATTACGACAAGGCGTGCAGAGTTCTGTACGATGACATGTCTCTCGCCACCCGACAAAATTCCAAGGACTCGACTTACCATTGTGGAAGCGAATTTGGTGCCACCCGAAGAGCTGCCGTTCTATCTCGAAGATGAAGAAGAGAGTTAGATGGCGTGAAAGGGCAGAATCTGCTGCTCAATTCTACAATACATCTGTTTCAAAATACGACAACCGCGAAGAAGTGCCCATTGCGGATTCCAATGAAGCTCTGCAAGACGCTATTCAAGATTGCACCACAATCATCAGCTGTGTGGGTTCTGTTCGTCCGACCAATCTGTGGACTGACCATTTGGCAAGACCCTTATGGCGATGGTTGAAGCCCGATGTGTCTGGTTGGTGTAAAGATGCCCGTCATCCGTACTATGTACACTTCCAATCTACCCGAAAGATATTGGGATATGCGGAACGAGAGCAACTGCGACGAGAAGCAGGCCGTAGAGATGGCTCTGGAGGAGGAGAAGAGAAAGGGAAGAGCCCGTGGTGGTGCCCAAAATCCGATACATTCGAGTCTCGGACAACTGCCTCTGTCAGCCGGTCTGGGAGATGGTGCCACTTTTGACAAACATCTTTCGTTCCAACGTGTTTCGATATCATGACATGGCCGAGCGTCTACTCGAATCTTCTACATTGATTGATACTGTGATTTTGAGACCTGGAGACCTTGTAGACAACGAACGAGTAAGTTTCACGTGCACAAAAACGACAGATACACAACAAATGCTTTATACTGACGTGTTGTGTTGTGCTGAGCGATGTAGGACGTGAACACGACGCACATCCAGGTCGATCCCAGCGGCGATATCCCAGCACCCGCGATTGTGGGCCGTGAGGATGTTGCCTCTCTGGCGGTGGCATCTGCTTTGTTTCGATCTCCTCGACAGAAAGAAGCTGAAAAGGTGGACGTTTCAGAATCTGATACAGGTTCTACTCAGACTCAACAACACGATCCTTTTCACTGTAAGCTTGCCGTTCGTTGGGTCGGCAGTGATATGCATCCATATCCAGCACAAGGGAAAAAGAAGGATGGCTTTCGTACCGCTCAAATCTCTTTGCAAAAAGCGCTGGCGGTGATTAAGAAGGCCGAAAAGAAGGAACGACGTATCGAGCTGCGAAGGCAGCGTACGATGCTGTCGTCATCGTTGGTGGAATCGTATCCAGAAACGGTCGTGAGGCTAGCCCAGAACTTTCAAACTCGACGAAAGAAGCGACAATTAAAGCCTTACGGCATTGCGTCTGCAATTCCAATCTACTTGATGTTGGCATTGGCCACGCGATCGCTGGGACGACTTCTTTGGACGGTTCTCTGCACCCAAACATGGGCCCAGCCTCTGGTGACTCTTATACAGAAAGTTTCGGCCATGTTGATTGCTTTCTTGGCACCTCATTTACAAATCCTACAGCAGTTCCTGGCACGGCATATTCCACGTGGTTTGCGAAGGGCGTTTGGATCCAAGCAGTACATTAGCTTTTGAGGAGTGGTCAAGGGGTGAGTGGAGTGTGGATGGATTGCAGGTTGAAGAACCCGACACAACTTGTCTCAGAATCGAATCAAATCAAGCCTGTGTCAGACGGTGATACTGTACACGACAAGACTTCACGAAGTGTGCTTCCTGAAGGAGCTCTCCAAAATCTGGTGGAATGTTATGTTCGTCTTTTGTACCCCAGATACTTCACCAATGATGTTACTTTATCAAATCATTCTAGGCTTTTGCGCCCTGGTGATACCGACAACGTAACTACGGATAGCTGCTGCCTGCAGAGGCAACAAGCACCGGTACCGGTAATAGCTGCCTACCCGTGACTTTTGTCGTCATTTCCTATTCTTCATGTTTAGCTAGTTGCTTCCATGCATGGCTTGCTGCTTTGTTCATCATTTGCTGTTGTTGCTGAGCTTGTGCTTCATTCATTTGCTGCAGCACAAACGCAATCTTCTGTTGTGATGATCATTGCAACACATCGACCGATCCGCGCAGCTCATTCCTCCCACGCAAGGAACATTTGATACGTAGTTAAGGTAAAATAGGGCTAAAGTTCAAAATCAAATTGTACATACCAGCCAGTTACGTAGATGCATGAAAACTAGTTTACCGCATCTACCTGATTTTCAAAAATGGTGTCATTTTTCTTCGTGGACGACGAACCTTCTCTCATCTCAAACGGACGAACCTTCTCTCTCACAAACAGGGTTCAGCGGTGTGCCAGTCATCCATTTCTTTGCCATCGGTTGGTTGCGTTGTTTGCTGCTGTCAAGATGAAGAACCGCCGCAATAACAAGAAAAATGAGGCCGAAAGAAGGGCAAGAAGCCTGCCGAGGCCGAGGCCAACAATGACAACAAGAACAAGAGCAACACTTGTGGTCGAGCTCCAACGTTGACGGCAGAGCTTTCCAACATGGAGAAGCGTGGTCTATACCTTCATGGAATGCCGACAGGATATGTTGATGCAGTGAGTGGTGACGCTTTGCAAGCTTTCCTGGACGACTTGTTCTCCGGTTGGCGCAGCAGCATTACTGACCTGCAGATGCTACACCTGGCCCACCCTATCTTGGATCAACCAGGCATGGCCCAGTTTCTTTATGACTTGCAGCAATGTATTTGATTCAAGGGATTGTTGATACATCCAAAAATGATACTCCCCTCTGGAAGGTTTTCGGAGCCGCAATTTACACTGACAAATGTGAAAAGCCTTCTCCTACGGATCAGAGGTGTCAGCTGATTGGAAAGGCAGTTCGTGTGCAATGGTACTTTGTCAAACATATTGGAAGCCTGAAAGACATAGTTGTCTACTTGGACAAGAAGGTCCCTTGTGACTGCTTGGGGGAGTAAAAAGGTGGCCCTCGAGGTTGAAGAGGATCGACATTGTGACCAATGCAGAAGGTACACGAAGAACGCCATGTGGTGTCAGAATGCATCATGGCGGAGTATTGCAGCAAAGAATGCCAGATTGCTCATTGGCCGAAGCACCGAATTCAATGCGACCTTTTCTGTGGAAAGATCACAGCAGCCGAATTCGAGCGGCTTCTTGGGGAACTGTAATGTGGGCAACAGTGACGACCACCAGGGCGGCAGCAACAACAACGACAACGATGAACAACGGCGACAGCAGCAACAAAACAGACGCTTGCACAGGGAATGTTTTTTGGGTGCGTTCATTGCATTCCTTTCATGAAAATCGGAGCAATCGACGGTCCTAAATACTTTGCCTCCAGAAAGAGATGGTAAGATATTATAGAATTGAATTTTAGCAGCAGAAAAGTTTGAGAACCACAACGCAGTCTCCAAGTCTTGAGCTCTCTCTTTCATATAACATATTCATGTGAAAGAACATAGAACGGACGATTCAATCATTGCCCAAGTCAAGAATTCTGCACGGATTCTTCCCGACAGCCGAAAAGCGCATTCTTGCCGTGGCTGCGGTCAAGTAGCGACATTCTCAATGCTGAGTTGAGCTCCCCTCTGCATGATGGCTTTAGGTAATGTTGGGAATCAGGTGGCTGGTTGGTTTTCTACTACCGTACAGAATCAAGCTATCTGCAACGTCAAGTGCATGAACTGGCTGTTATACGGTATGACGGTGATTGCCAAATCGATTCCGATTCGACTTCAGCGAGGGGCCAGCCAGAACATTATCACCAGGAAGAATGCTTCCCATATGACCCGAAAAGATTCAAAGCTATGAATTACTGTCCTCTACTAGTTACGGTATGTGCAATTTTTCCAGGATGGATTGTCAAGAGCTGGCACTAAAATAATGAGTGCAATGAATTCTCGTTACCGCCCAACACAAAATTTGCTATCTCTTGGATGATCTGGATCGCGTAGCTTTGAACTTGGAATGATGTTTTCTTTTGGAATTTGTTTCCTTCAATCGCTCTTTTCGTTGTTCGTGCGATTGCGGTTGCAACCCTGCGGCATCTCTCGTTGTTGATTATTGTCGATCGCGCATCGATATACAGCTCTGTCATATCTACCACAGTTGATGCTCGAGGTGTATGATATAGATGAGTTTGAGTAATTAAAGTTCCGATGCTCCTGTATCCAGTAAGCACAGAGTGTACGGGTTTTTGTTTCCCTTTCTCTCGTCTGTTAAATCTAACATAGACGATAGTTTCGAGGTCTCTTGTTGCGACGTTGATGAGTTGATTGGCCATTGACGAAGCTAACGATGCTAACAGATCGTCAGGTCTTAGTTGAGTAGTTGCTAGGCAATTATCTATTTGCCGTAGACTTCTTAGTTGAAAAAATCTTGTTTTCTATTTAGTGAGATATCTTTATAACTTGGTATGAGAAAATCGGAAAATGGTTCCGTTGAATCATCTCCTGGCCTAATCCTCAGACGGAGATCTCTCCATCCGATGATTGAAGTCGAATTCGGCAAGCGCTTGTCAACAGCAGCCATCTTCTGTCCATCATGTTGATGGATCCAACAGAGGAGTCGTCCTCGTTGTCGGAGTGTCAGACTTGCGCTTGGCAACATGGTTGCATTCGCTTTCTTTTTGCGATCAGCCTTTACCCAGCGTTGGAAACCTTCTTCATGAGGACAGAGAGTTCTTTCTTGGTGTAGGTCTTGGCGTCGTCGGACTTGCGTTTCCAAGTCTTGTTCTTGTTGTACGCTGGCTTGTTATCGTTTTCAGACGAGGACTGAGACTTGGCCTTGAGCTTCTTCAAGGTCATCAGTCAGCAGTTGTTGTGAGTGTGGACTCGTTGTAGTCCACATTTTTCTTCGTTCTTGAAGAGTGGTCGTTGTTGCGAGTAGACTTGTACTTCTTGCTGTTGTTCTTCTTCGTAGGAGCTTGCTTTGCATCACCGCCCTTGTTAAAGTCTTCGGAGGATTCCATGCGTCGCAGAATCCAATGGTTTCTCCGATAGGAGCTGAGAAAGGATCAAGTCGTGTTCGTCCATCTTCTTCATCCATGAGCGTTGAATTCCATGACAAACAATGTCAATGACTTCGTCATGGTTCAACGTTTGGTTGGGTCCAAAGGTGGTAGACGAGGAAGTTCATCGGTGTTCATCCGACTGAGGTTGTTGACATAAGCCCGAGTGGAACATATCAGCAGGTTACGCATCTTGCGGCGCATAGAAGCGTTTCTGCTTTTCAAGAGCTTGTAGGACAGACCGCTTCGATACAGGCATTTATGCCAAACGTAATGTCAGGTCGCCAAAGCAGGCTGAGCTGCTCCGTTCCAGGCAGCCTGGAAACGTGCTTGGAAAGTGGCTTCGTCTTCACCACCACGTACGTCGCGTGGAGAATCGCGTTGACTGCAATCTGGCGCAAGGCATTCCAACGTATTTCACGGTGGCCTGCACGCTAGATTCTGTAACTGCTCTTGGCAGGAGCTAGAAGTCATCTCCCTAGGAGGTTATGTTTGTCGTCAGGCGTAGCAATTGCGAGCCCACGAAGACCTTCTCCATAGTCCAGCCCACTTGATGGTCTGACGTGGAGTCTCAGATCCATTAATGATTTGGACCTTGAAGGTGTACTTGGCACTGTTAGCATCTTGCTGGAATAGTGCGAAGTTTGTAGGTGGTAGAGCGAGAATCGTCGATTTCGTTCATCATCGAGGTCGATGAAAGGAAGGATTGGTTTGTCACGCAGCTTAGACTCGAAGCTGGTGTATGCGTTTTTGGCAATCTTCATTGTGAGGAATAGGTTGAGGTAGCTGAAAGCTATTGTGTTTGTTAACAAAATGCACTACGTAAAAGCTAGTGTAAAGATCTTTCGAGTGTTTTGAGTTTGAGAGAATGAAAGTTATGAGAGGATTAGAAAGCTATGAAAACTAATCAACGAGAGAGATCCACAATCAAAGGATCGTAGATCTGAACTCCGCGGGAGACTGTAAAGTGTGATAGAGTAGTTGGGTAGCAATCCTATCACTCCACGATCCAAAAAAAGGACACGTGGAAGATTCGTCTAGCATTTATCTAGTAGCGTGAATCTCTCCACTCAGCTAAATATCTAGCGCGATGTTTCACCATCGAATAGTATGACTAGAGCGGTCATGAGAACCCTGTCTCAATGACTATTCACGAAAGACTCAGTCATGAGTCAAACTCAAACCCTATCTAGGATCGAGTCGCGAATAAGGCTAAGAGCCGTGTATTGCACACGCAAAAACCTCAGTTGAGTTACGGGTTCGTTGCTTCCTTGGCACCAGTTGCTTCAAGCTGTTCCTTCTCCTTGTCGAAGCTGCAATGGCCGCTGCCGACTTACGAACTTAACCAACTTGAGCTGTAGCATAACTCCCGAAGTACCACAGGCAGAGTTCTGGATCTCGCATCCATCATCAGGCTTCCGTCCAATTGCAACATACTGCAGCAGTCCAATGTTGATCCAGTGTCCACCCAATCCATACGAATGGCAGCATCCAAAGCTAGCCTCTAGAGGGATACCGGTACCAATACTGTACCGATACCTACCGTACAAGTACCAGGTATCAGGTACCAGCCGTACAGATTTCCAAGGGGTCCTCGATCGTCCTTCGACTTTTCTCAATGCAACTCGCTGGCTTATTTCTGGTCAGCTGGGATCGAGGACCAACATCCATCTTCAACTATATTCAACCCATCACGAAAGGCAAGATGATGCTCCCTGTTCGGCCTTCCTCCTTGTTCTCCCACCGTGGAGTGCTGCTGATCATTCTGTGCATCCTCAACGACAGATCTCGGGCCCTGACGGCAAGTCGCAATCGCCATGGAGACAGCAGAGCAACAACGACCTCTCCTCCCGTCACCCAGCTGTCCCTTGCTCGAAGATTCCGTGATGACAAGGGATATGAACATGAGCACGACGAACTGTCACGACAAAGATCCACGGATCGACCTACATTGCGAAAGACACAACTGATTGGACCACCCATTATGCCCGGCAAACCGAAGATTGTTGTTCTTGGAGCGTCGGGTCGAATTGGCCGTTTGGTAGTACGACAACTGCTGGAGATGAAGCATCTGGACGCCACCATCATTGCCTGTGTAAAGGATTACGACAAGGCGTGCAGAGTTCTGTACGATGACATGTCTCTCGCCACCCGACAAAATTCCAAGGGACCTCGACTTACCATTGTGGAAGCGAATTTGGTGCCACCTGAAGAGCTGCCGTTCTATCTCGAAGATGAAGAAGAAGAGTTAGAATGGCGTGAAAGGGCAGAATCTGCTGCTCAATTCTACAATACATCTGTTTCAAAATACGACAACCGCGAAGAAGTGCCCATTGCGGATTCCAATGAAGCTCTGCAAGACGCTATTCAAGATTGCACCACAATCATCAGCTGTGTGGGTTCTGTTCGTCCGACCAATCTGTGGACTGACCATTTGGCAAGACCCTTATGGCGATGGTTGAAGCCCGATGTGTCTGGTTGGTGTAAAGATGCCCGTCATCCGTACTATGTACACTTCCAATCTACCCGAAAGATATTGGGATATGCGGAACGAGAGCAACTGCGACGAGAAGCAGCCGTAGAGATGGCTCTGGAGGAGGAGGAAGAAGAAAGGGAAGAGCCCGTGGTGGTGCCCAAAATCCGATACATTCGAGTCTCGGACAACTGCCTCTGTCAGCCGGTCTGGGAGATGGTGCCACTTTTGACAAACATCTTTCGTTCCAACGTGTTTCGATATCATGACATGGCCGAGCGTCTACTCGAATCTTCTACATTGATTGATACTGTGATTTTGAGACCTGGAGACCTTGTAGACAACGAACGAGTAAGTTTCACGTGCACAAAAACGACAGATACACAACAAATGCTTTATACTGACGTGTTGTGTTGTGCTGAGCGATGTAGGACGTGAACACGACGCACATCCAGGTCGATCCCAGCGGCGATATCCCAGCACCCGCGATTGTGGGCCGTGAGGATGTTGCCTCTCTGGCGGTGGCATCTGCTTTGTTTCGATCTCCTCGACAGAAAGAAGCTGAAAAGGTGGACGTTTCAGAATCTGATACAGGTTCTACTCAGACTCAACAACACGATCCTTTTCACTGTAAGCTTGCCGTTCGTTGGGTCGGCAGTGATATGCATCCATATCCAGCACAAGGGAAAAAGAAGGATGGCTTTCGTACCGCTCAAATCTCTTTGCAAAAAGCGCTGGCGGTGATTAAGAAGGCCGAAAAGAAGGAACGACGTATCGAGCTGCGAAGGCAGCGTACGATGCTGTCGTCATCGTTGGTGGAATCGTATCCAGAAACGGTCGTGAGGCTAGCCCAGAACTTTCAAACTCGACGAAAGAAGCGACAATTAAAGCCTTACGGCATTGCGTCTGCAATTCCAATCTACTTGATGTTGGCATTGGCCACGCGATCGCTGGGACGACTTCTTTGGACGGTTCTCTGCACCCAAACATGGGCCCAGCCTCTGGTGACTCTTATACAGAAAGTTTCGGCCATGTTGATTGCTTTCTTGGCACCTCATTTACAAATCCTACAGCAGTTCCTGGCACGGCATATTCCACGTGGTTTGCGAAGGGCGTTTGGATCCAAGCAGTACATTAGCTTTTGAGGAGTGGTCAAGGGGTGAGTGGAGTGTGGATGGATTGCAGGTTGAAGAACCCGACACAACTTGTCTCAGAATCGAATCAAATCAAGCCTGTGTCAGACGGTGATACTGTACACGACAAGACTTCACGAAGTGTGCTTCCTGAAGGAGCTCTCCAAAATCTGGTGGAATGTTATGTTCGTCTTTTGTACCCCAGATACTTCACCAATGATGTTACTTTATCAAATCATTCTAGGCTTTTGCGCCCTGGTGATACCGACAACGTAACTACGGATAGCTGCTGCCTGCAGAGGCAACAAGCACCGGTACCGGTATTATAGCTGCCTACCCGCATCACTGACTTTTGTCGTCATTTCCTATTCTTCATGTTTAGCTAGTTGCTTCCATGCATGGCTTGCTGCTTTGTTCATCATTTGCTGTTGTTGCTGAGCTTGTGCTTCATTCATTTGCTGCAGCACAAACGCAATCTTCTGTTGTGATGATCATTGCAACACATCGACCAGATCCGCGCAGCTCATTCCTCCCACGCAAGGAACATTTGATACGTAGTTAAGGTAAAAATAGGGCTAAAGTTCAAAAATCAAATTGTACATACCAGCCATTTACCGTAGATGCAAATGAAACTTAGTTTACCGCATCTACCTGATTTTCAAAAATGGTGTCATTTTTCTTCGTGGACGACGAACCTTCTCTCATCTCAAACGGACGAACCTTCTCTCTCAAACAGGGTTCAGCGGTGTGCCAGTCATCCATTTCTTTGCCATCGGTTGGTTGCGTTGTTTGCTGCTGTCAAGATGAAGAACCGCCGCAATAACAAGAAAAATGAGGCCGAAAGAAGGGCAAGAAGCCTGCCGAGGCCGAGGCCAACAATGACAACAAGAACAAGAGCAACACTTGTGGTCGAGCTCCAACGTTGACGGCAGAGCTTTCCAACATGGAGAAGCGTGGTCTATACCTTCATGGAATGCCGACAGGATATGTTGATGCAGTGAGTGGTGACGCTTTGCAAGCTTTCCTGGACGACTTGTTCTCCGGTTGGCGCAGCAGCATTACTGACCTGCAGATGCTACACCTGGCCCACCCTATCTTGGATCAACCAGGCATGGCCCAGTTTCTTTATAGACTTGCAGCAATGTATTTGATTCAAGGGATTGTTGATACATCCAAAAATGATACTCCCCTCTGGAAGGTTTTCGGAGCCGCAATTTACACTGACAAATGTGAAAAGCCTTCTCCTACGGATCAGAGGTGTCAGCTGATTGGAAAGGCAGTTCGTGTGCAATGGTACTTTGTCAAACATATTGGAAGCCTGAAAGACATAGTTGTCTACTTGGACAAGAAGGTCCCTTGTGACTGCTTGGGGGGAGTAAAAAAGGTGGCCCTCGAGGTTGAAGAGGATCGACATTGTGACCAATGCAGAAGGTACACGAAGAACGCCATGTGGTGTTCAGAATGCATCATGGCGGAGTATTGCAGCAAAGAATGCCAGATTGCTCATTGGCCGAAGCACCGAATTCAATGCGACCTTTTCTGTGGAAAGATCACAGCAGCCGAATTCGAGCGGCTTCTTGGGGAACTGTAATGTGGGCAACAGTGACGACCACCAGGGCGGCAGCAACAACAACGACAACGATGAACAACGGCGACAGCAGCAACAAAACAGACGCTTGCACAGGGAATGTTTTTTGGGTGCGTTCATTGCATTCCTTTCATGAAAATCGGAGCAATCGACGGTCCTAAATACTTTGCCTCCAGAAAGAGATGGTAAGATATTATAGAATTGAATTTTAGCAGCAGAAAAGTTTGAGAACCACAACGCAGTCTCCAAGTCTTGAGCTCTCTCTTTCATATAACATATTCATGTGAAAGAACATAGAACGGACGATTCAATCATTGCCCAAGTCAAGAATTCTGCACGGATTCTTCCCGACAGCCGAAAAGCGCATTCTTGCCGTGGCTGCGGTCAAGTAGCGACATTCTCAATGCTGAGTTGAGCTCCCCTCTGCATGATGGCTTTAGGTAATGTTGGGAATCAGGTGGCTGGTTGGTTTTCTACTACCGTACAGAATCAAGCTATCTGCAACGTCAAGTGCATGAACTGGCTGTTATACGGTATGACGGTGATTGCCAAATCGATTCGATTCGATTCGATTCAGCGAGGGGCCAGCCAGAACATTATCACCAGGAAGAATGCTTCCCATATGACCCGAAAAGATTCATAGCTATGAATTACTGTCCTCTACTAGTTACGGTATGTGCAATTTTTCCAGGATGGATTGTCAAGAGCTGGCACTAAAATAGTGAGTGCAATGAATTCTCGTTACCGCCCAACACAAAATTTGCTATCTCTTGGATGATCTGGATCGCGTAGCTTTGAACTTGGAATGATGTTTCTTTTTGGAATTTGTTTCCTTCAATCGCTCTTTTCGTTGTTGCTTGCGTTGCACCTTGGCGGCATCTCGTTGTTGGATTTTTGCTTCGCCCTGTTTCGCTTGTTCTTCTCCCTGTGATTGGAGTGTATTTTTGAGATGCAGCTGCAAGGCTGCAAATGGATTTTCTTGAAAGGCGGGATGTTGCAACACCAATCCCATGTGATGCAATTCCGATGCCACAATGTTGCGCTTGGCCTTGTTGGTGGTGATGGCGGATTGTTCTGGCTTGTCTGCTGGTGGCTTGTCTGTGCTGACAGGTTTTTCACGGACAGTTTCCATCAAAGCTTGCTTGAGAGCATCCAGACCATCGATCCGTTTCTTTTGTTGATCTTCCTCTTTTAATTTGAGGGATGAGAGAATCATTCGTTCTCGTTTCAGATATTGTTCTCGTTTGGCGAGACGTCTCCGTTGGCCTCGACTGAGTGCTGTAGTATTGTCTTTGTTGTCCTTGGTTGCTGCTGCTGACTTTTCTGTACCCTCGGATACTTCATCATTAGTTGTACTAGTTGTTTCCTTTTCCTTGATGTTGTGAGATTTCTTGGATTGTTGCTGCATGATCTGGGTAAAGCTCTTGGATCGTTCCACTTGGCGACGTGGTCGTGTCTTGTTCTTGTCGTCACTGGTATCCATACTTTCGTCTTGTTCCTTGCGTTTCGTTTCCTTCATGTCCACCTCCATGGAGGCTGCCGCGGCAGCAGCCGTCTTGCGGAATTTACCAACCTTGCTGACCTTCGGCATCTTGCTTTCAATTCTATTGTGCTGTGGATAGAAACGTGTGAGAATGAGATGAGTTGATGAGGAGCCAGATCCAATTCCTTGGACCAGATTGAGTCACTTGTTTTGTTGAGTCACTACTGTTCACATCCAGTGTTACGGTTCCCGCCCGGCTCGAGCAATCTGATTGGTCCTAGTTCTCTTCGATTCGAATGATTCAATCTATTCAATTCGATTGAATGATTCGATTGAAGAACGATCTAATACCGGATCCTTACTCTTTGTGACTAAAAGACTATGAGGGCACCGAAGCAGTCACACTTTAAATCACACTTCCTCTCCTGGGAGTAAAGGAACCATGTTTGGGCAAGGATCCCCACATTTTCCATTTCAGTCGAAAAATGCACATCCATCTTTTAGCACAAAAAGCTTTTGTTGATTGGGGGCTTTCATCTCTCACTATCCTACTGATCCCGAATGCTCAGTCAGGCATAAATAGCAGGGCCGCTGCATGGCGCAGAGAGTTGCCGCATCCTCGCAAACTCGACGCTTCGTCGCAGATACGCGCGTCCTGTTCGGCCACTTGACGCATTGCCTGCCAGCAGCTCCGCAACAGTGTTGTATCAATGTGGGTTCTATCAAATGCTTCATCACTGTGTTTGACAGAGCCAAGCCTCCATTTCTGGTTTCCGAGTCACGATTGTACAAACGAAGCAAATCGCGTGCTATCTCCAAAACGCCGCGTTCAGAGTGAGCTGAGGAAGAATCGAATCACGAACGAAAAAGGCGCAAATCATCATTCAACGCCCCTTTGAAGTCTGGTGCGCTTTGAATATGGAGACTTTCATCATCTAGTCACGATTTATCCAAATAAATGGGAGGGCTTGTTTGCTCAACATCTCTGTGGGACCCGTTGATCAGATGCTCACATCCATCAGATCCAATTCCTGTGCATTCAAGTGCGTTCAGAATATTGCATTGGATAAGACAAGGATTCTCGATTGTGTATTTACCCATGGCTTTGTCTCATAATTTTAATTCTCGAGCCTCGGACAGCTTCCAAATTTCCTGTTGCAACTCGTGTACACAAAGCATCAAAGGATGAAACTGTATGCCCACACGCTATTCATTGCTGCTGCGAGCCTGTTCGTCTCGGCAAGCTCAGCAGCCGACAAAGGGTTTTGCTATGACGGGTACCGTGCCGGCCCACCCAAAAAATGCCATGGCAATAAGGTAGGCACTGATGTGACGCACGCGGAGTGTGTAAGACTAGACAATGGAAAGTGTTGGTCAAAACGAAATGGAATTAATGTGCCTGGCAGCGACGCTCGTGAAGGAGCCTGCTTTGAAGTTTACGTTCCTGGGCAACCCCCAAGGTGCGACGGTACCTTCTATCCCGGCCAAAAGAGCAAGCACGAGTGCTTGTGTGAGCACGGAGGCATGTGCTGGATCTCTCCTGGCGGAAGCGCAGAAAGGACGACGGCCGGTCGTCGTCGAACTATGCTGCGACAATTGCAAGCTGATCCCTCTTGCCCCTCCGGTGATGTCGATTGCATTTGTGAGGACCCAACAGTTGGAGGTGAGCCCAGCTTTTTTTAAGTGCACATTTCTGTTGATCGAACGAACCCAGACCACTAACTTAAATCTTCAAGGCGAGCCTCACTTTAAGACTTGGGCGGGAGAGTGGTTTGATTACCATGGTAAGCAAAGATTCCACCCACTCAGTCTGGTCAACTGCATCAACACGCTCAACAGGTTGCTGCTACCGTACAGGAGAGTGCGATCTTGTATTGATGGACGCTCCCGCGATCAACCTAACTGTCCATATCAGAACACAGATTCGATATCAATACAGTTACATTACTTCCGCCGCTGTCAGGCTCGACGACGAAGTTCTCGAAGTAGCTGGCTGGGGTGAATGTGCGTGTGCAGCAGCGCTTCATTGCTTTAGAAATCGGTTGTATCATAATTCTCACTCGTTGCTCTCGTGTCGATTTCCTCCTGTTACCATGACGTTACTATACGGTATGGGGGGTGATCGCTTGAATCAAATCTTGAAGACGTACTCAATGGAGTTGACATGGTCGAAAGCAGTACTGATCTTTTGTTTGCCGGCCGGAATCTCACGCATGTTCAGCGCAACAAGAAGGAGCACATCTTTGATGTAGCGCTGAATGATTGGGAACATCTCTCCCTGAAGACCTTCAAAGATTGGGTTTCTGTCAAAGTTTCTCCTTCCACCCCCGATCATTTTGAAACAAGCGTTGGGCTCTTGGGTCAGTACAAGACAGGCGAAAAGCTTGGTAGGGACGGTGAAACGGTTTTCTCGAATGACAATGAGTTTGGGCAGGCGTGGCAAGTGAGAGCCGGCAAAGAACCCATGCTATTCCAGAGCGTTCGTTCTCCGCAGTATCCAGAACCTTGTCGCCTACCCGATATTACCAAGACAGGTCGCCGCCTCGGTATGGGTATTCCGCAGGAATCTGCCGAAAAAGCCTGCGCTGGTTGGCGGGCTGATAAGGAACGCTGCATTGAAGATGTGCTCAAGAGCGGAGACTTGGAGATGGCCGAAGCCGGCGGATACTGAGTTGACAAAGCCCAAGTTAGAAAGCCGAGTTCACTCAGTTGTTTGGTGAATTAGAAACTAAATGACTTGCTGCGGCTCCAGAGAATCATTCGAATTTGCATATTTTCATGTGGATGGAGAAGTGTTGGCGGATCCAAAATCTCCAGTTGGTGAACGATCGAGGGCTGTATTGCTCTTTTGCATTCGGCAACGTCGCCCTGGCTTGCGTATGTACACGTCTTACGATCACGAGAATTGAATGAAATTGCCAACGGTGGAGCAAACAATCTCTCGTGTCTCTTTTAGCTTTATATCTGATGTTGGCAGTGACTGGCCGGAGAACTCCAAAAATCTGGCCCGAGGGCCTCCGTCCTGCTTACTATCGACTACTCTATCGACTTAAAGCCAAATAATTCATGAGTCCAACCTCATTCTATCGATATCATTGATCCGCTTGTGAGCTATTGGTGTATTCTGTGCGATTATCCTCCGCGCCATTTTCTGTGTAGTAATACACTATTACCATTTTTGGGAATCATTCCTCACAATAATTCCAGTTTTCTTTTCCGATTGAAGATTCCTCACAATTTCAATTTTCCCTTTCCTCACAATTCCAATTTAGTCAATTTCAATTTTTTTAATTTCAATTCCTCACAATTCCAATTTTGCCGATTCGTCACAATTCCAATTTTTTAATTTCTCACAATTCCAATTTTCTTCATTCCTCACAATTCCAATTTTCGATTTCTCACAATTCCAATTTTTGATCTCTCACAATTTCAAGATTGAAGATTCTGGAACGATGTCGTCTCCAAGATTTAGAGATGCTTGCCCCTAAATCTATTTCGGCTTCCCTTGTCGAAGGCCAAGACCCCAGCAAGATTGCAAGATCATCAAAGCGAGATGTTCACAGTTCCGTTGCCGCTTGGAGAGAAAGACACCATGAGAGGCTCGGCATCATTAAATTACTTGCTTGGCCCTTAATAGTTCCTTGTTCCTTGAGTAATCCTCGTTTGAAACTCCATGACGGCATTGGCGGACAATGAAGCGGCATCTTTTCCCTCCCACGGCCCCGAACGACGGTCCATTCCCAAGAAACTTGAGACACTCACTCAAGAAATCAAATCCGCCTATGACAATGAGCTGACGGCCATTGCAAGGCGCATGGGAATTGACGACACCATCTCCAATGTCAGAGCCGAATCCTTGCGATCCAAGACGATCCGAGAACTCTTGGATCCACAACCCGACAATCCACTACTAGTAACAACACCAAAACCAGTGCTGTCTTCCATCAAACTCCATGTCATTCAATCCTGGAACGATTTGCTGGATGCTCTGATCCAGCACAATGTGTTTTTGGATTACTGTCATTCCATGGAAGAAGCCTTTCGAGAAATCGAAGAAACACCGCCTCCCGAAGAGACAACCCCCGAAGCCACAATGGCAGCTAGTGTGGTGTGGTTCCGACATCAATGGAATCTCGTCAGGCTATTGACGCATACCGTCGTGAATCATTTTCGAGACAATTGTACCGAATGTCGATTCGTGACTTTGCTGGAAGTCACGCTGTCCTATCAAAAAGCAGTGGTGGAAGACCAGGGAGATGAGAGGGTGGTATACCAATGGAAGCCATCCAATGCGGTCCAACGATTTTGGGTAAGGCTCAGTATCAATATTGATCCCGAAATGGCACCATTTGATTTTCGGAGAAAAGCCTACGGGGTACTGGTATCCTTGAGTTGGGTACCCAGCTCCAAAGGACTGCTCGAAGCGTGTTCGATTGCCGACAGTCGACGAGGAGAACTCCCACCCAATACACCCGAGGAGGCACGGAGAATTCTGCACATGATCCCCAACCGACCTCTCTCTCGCAATGACAGTGTCTATCAAGTCCTCGACCGTCTCAAGGATGAAACCAACGTCTCGGTTGTCGTTACGGCATCCGACTACAACAAGGTCGCAGCATCAGGAATTGGCAAAACGACTGTGGCAGCCTTGGTGGCCTCGCATCCCTTGATTGTACGATCCTTCAAAGTCCTGTGGCTCAACATGGATTACCGGCAACAACAACATCACCAAGTCATGGCAATGCCGCATGTCCCCGGCCCCCAAAAAGCCAAGCTCGATTATGAAACGTATGTTCGTTATCTAGACACTCTCTGTGATCAGCTCGGTTGCAGTCCAAAGGACGGTAATGCTGATAATGATGAAAATGCGAGATTCACCCGAAAGCGACCCGTATGGCCAGAAGCTCATTCGCTCAAACGATTGGAAGAACCTGCCATGCGTCATCGGCGAGAAGAACATTTGATGCGCAAAGCACAACGCATCATGACCAAGGTGGTGCAATCGACAGGGACCAACATTCTACTGATACTGGACGATGTCAACGAGGGCGAAGAGTTGGAGTGGTTCCACTTCACCGAGAAGCAGTCTCTATTGGCAACAACCCGCGAATCCATACAAAATGCAGACTTTACGGTCGAATTGGATCCATGGGGAGAAGAGGAATCCATTGAACTGTTTCTCTTGGAAGCGCAATGCCCGGAATTGGACGCCATGGCATCTTCAGCGGAAGTGAAGCAGCTCGTGGCACGGTGCCACTATCATCCAATAATTGTGCGGACAGCTGCCAGATTCTTCATGCTCAAAAAGGTGACGGGTGGACTCGTACCAGCCTTGGAAGAGGCGAACCGAGAATTTTCGGCGGGCAGCGGCCCCGTGGAGGAAAGCACGTTGGAAGGTTCAGGAGATGGTCCAGCCTTGGCTCCAACGGTACCAGAGGCTCTTCGAAAACTCTTGGACAAAGTGCTGAGCCCCATTGTCAGGAGGACAGGGCAGTCTTCCATCCTTTTCAAGCTCTGTCTTGCGTCCATGGCGGCCGTGTTTGCCGAACGTCAGCCGGTGCCCTTGACAGCGGTGCTTCTGCTCTGGGAACAGTTGCTGACGATGGAGCCAGATGCCATTGAAGAGTGCGGCGGGGATGTGACAGCTGGAGAGCTTAGGAGGAGGGCCTGGTTCATTGCCGAAGGATTGACTCACATTGGACTGCTTCGATTTAGCGAAGGTGGCGATGGAGACGCTTTCGTGGCCATTCATCACGAGATGTACGTTGCGTATGCCCTTGAGTTAGTAAAGAATATGGATTTCGGAGATAGCACAGAGGGAACGTTTGTGCAGTGGCACAAGGCCTTTGTCGCCTCCTATCTGACCAGAAAGTTTGAAGGCAACAATTGCGACAGCTCGCACGCGTATGCTCTGCGAAATCTCTCCCAGCACATGCTGTACTGTAAGCTCTATGTGCAATCTGTGGCGTTGTTGAGCAACGGGCGCCTTTATCAAGAACGAGTTGCCGCCTTTGGTCGAGAGGCTGCTACCAATCAGCATGTTCAGGATTGCATTCAGCTCATGCTGTGCGTCCGAAGTGACCCCAAAATCCCCCGTGAACAGCGTGATGAAGTTGCGACGGAGCATTTCCAAAAGGTTTCCGCTCTTCTCACCCAGAATATGGATTTGTCCCAGGAGAGCAGTGCTCTATCTCTAGCCAAAGACCTGTATGCCATTGGCTTTGGTCTCGCTGAGAACGGAAAGTATGTTCAGGCTTTGGATCTGTATACCCAGGCCCACGGTCTTGTCCCAAAGTCGAGTTCCTTTGCAGCCACACTGCTCTATGGTTTGGGCTCGCTGAATCTCATCCTAAATGACTACGGAAAGGCCATGAAGAGTTTGATGGCTTCAATTGCCAGCATGCGAATCCTAGGGGAGGACGGCGAGTCTAGTAGCAAACCAAGAAACGCTCTCTTCCTTGCCGTGTCACGACTGCAAGGAGTTGCTCTCATGGCGCAATGCAACTATAAGATGGCCTTGACGCAGCTCGAAGAATGCATGGAGCTGACTTTGCAAGATGATGACTTTGAGTGTGAAGTTGAGTATTCCATGCTGGCTTATCACAAAGGCTGCCTTCATCAAATCATGGGAGAGACGGACATGGCGGCCAAAGAGCTCATAAACTGCATCAAATGGAAGGAGAAAACGGGAGAGGTCAGTAGGAATCTCGCAGCGGCGCACATCGCGTTGGCTGACGTTTATGCTGAGATGACGAAGTCCCTAGAGGCAAGGCAACAAATCGATTTAGCATTGAAGACGCTCGAACGGGTAGATACCGAGTTTCCCAAGCTGAAGTACGACGATGATGAAGAACTGGATGTTGAGAAGCTGCTCCTGACGGCCAAACTGCGAACGCTTCGCCCCGACTTGGAAGATGATCTGACCAATTATGCATTGATACGAAAGAAACTCGTGGAGTCCCCCGTACTGCTGATTGACAAGAGTGCCTACGATCTACGGTTCATTGCTCTCGCACACATGGCATCCGACGAGCACGAGAAGGCAGTCTCTATCTTGGAGGATGCTCTTAAGATCATGTCAGACAGAAACGAATCCTTGGAGCGTGCTCAATGTCTGTTGAGTTTGGGAAATTCCTTCGTTGACCAGTCAGAGAACTATGAAGGGGACGAAAAGAAAGCAAAGACTATGTTTGAGTTGGCAATGCAGCTGTTTGAAATTGCCCTGAATATCCAGAAAGCAAAACTTGGAGACTCCAACAAGGTTCTTGAGACTCTAGATGCAATTGGAAATTTGCATGTGCACCTGGGGCGGCATGAGAAGGCAATATCTGTGTACTCTGATGCGCTTGCCCTGGGCAAGAAGATCCACTTCGACGCGGAGAAGTTGGCAGGAATCCTATACTTTTTGGGTGAGAGTAGCGAGGCAATCGGAAGACTTGATCAAGCAGACGCTTACTACAAGGAGTGCCTGGTGGGTTTGAGAAGTGACAGACCGTCAACTGACATCGACATTGCCCGCCCGCTACAACGTCTGGGTGCAATGAGTCTGATTAAAGCAAAGTGGGAGGATGCCAAGCAGATCTATTCTGAAATCCTCGCGATCCGCGAAGCCAATTTAGAGGATGATGCTGTCCTTTTGGCAGAGACCCGGGATGTTCTCGGGTTCATAGAAATTAAGAGACAAAAGTACGACAGTGCAGCAGAGTTCCTTCAGGGTGCTCTGGACATCCGGCTCCAACACGAGGACAATCAACGCGCCATTGGAGACACACACTTTCAAATTGGTCTGACTTTCCGATTGCGAAGGGAGTACGAAACTGCCATATCTTGCTTCGAGCGCAGTCTGGCTATTCTGGACGGTATTGCAAGCAAAGACGATCAAATTATGGCCAATGTCGACATGGCAATGGGAAACACCTATCTGAATCTTGGGGATCTTGCTCAAGCCTGCAAGCGTTCCCAACAAGGTGAGTTGAGCCATGTGCATTGAGGTTGGCTCAGTTCACGCACTTTGGCTTGTTCACCTCATAATATGATGATCCGCTGTCTCTCTTTTGACGATTCTCATTCGTGCACACAGCACTTGTTTTACGAAAGTCTGGATTGGGGCCTGACCACAGAAGAACTGCCAACGCCAACAGAAGTTTGGGAATGATCAAGTTCATGTTGCAGGAGGAACTTGATGATGCTTGTTTTTTGCTGCAAGAGTATGTCCGTATCACTGAGTTTTTGAAAAGGCAGCAGGCACCAACGTCGGCTGATCACCATCGCAAGCCGAACGAGTACGTTGCTGCCCTGATCATGTTGGGTGACATTCAAGTATCGAATGGACGACACAAGTTGGCTCGCAAAATCTTGGCTACGGCTCGAGAGGTCTGCCATGCGAGGAGCGACGACAAGACCATCAGTAGCGCACATCAGATACCTCCCGCGCTGACACAAATGGTTCAAAAGAGGTTGTCAGACCTTGCCGCCTCATCGCACGATGGAAAACCAAGCAGTCTGGAGCTGGACCCAAATGAAGTGCAAGTGTTCCAGAGTATCATATTGAGCGACGACTAGCTAGCTTCAATTTGTCTCTGCACAGTAACTGGGCAGAAGCGTGCATGCAGTCTCACACGAAACGAGAGCTCCACCCGACCAATACGACAGCTTCGCGACTACGCCTGGATTGTACGGCTGGCCACCGGTAGCTATGACCTCTGGCTAGCAAGAGAACGGAGAATCGAATCGAGTTGAGCCTCGGTGCACTCTGATTTTCCCAAGTTGATGAAGCGGAGCGGTGGACCAAACCACGTCACGACTCTTGGTTTTAGGGTGTTGCTTATTAGTTGCGTCATGTTACTTCAGGCGTTAATGAAAAGTAGTGCGTACCGTACATACATCTATCGTTTCAATTCCTTAGTCTTCAGCATTGGGCTGATGATTCCATTCCATTTATTACGCTGCCGTGGCCTTGTTTTTGTTTCCTTGGCAGTGCTAGTCCATCCAAAATCTGCATTGAATCCTTGCCATTCCTCTACTTCCTCATATCCACTACCAGAGGACCGTTGGAGAATTCTGGGAGAGTTTCTGAAATTTTCTCCAATGATTCCTTCCAATCCTTGGCCCCTTCGAAGACCGGTGGCCCGCCTCCTCCGGAACGCCTCCTCTCATTGGCAGCCTTTTCGTCCTCGACCGAGATCATACTGAGACTTACTTTTCTTCCTTCAATGGACTTACAACGGATCTGGACCTTGTCCCCGGTATTGCAAATGGCCGTGACGGAATCGGCACGTCCCGGTGTCAATGCCGAGATATGGACCAGACCGTCCATTTCACCCTCGACCTCTGAATTCAACTGGGAGGCATCGAATCGGACAAAGGCTCCAAAATCGACGGTACTGGCGACGGTTCCTTCGACGAATTTGCCGGAATCAAATCCCTTTTCGTTCAAGGCGGCGGCGACGGCACTGTCATCACGACGTCCACCTCCTCGACTTTGATTTTGTTGCTGACGTTGTGGAGGACGAGCGTTTTTGGAAGCTTCTTCCTCTTCTGCTGTCAAGAGAGAGAGTGCCACTTGATTCTTGGCCTCATCAATGGTAATGATTCGGACCTGGTATTCCTTTCCAGCCTCAATCACGTCACCCACGTTGGCGACAAACTCTGCAGATAGATTGGAAATGTGCAAGAGACCATCCGATGCTGCTCCAATATCCATAAAGGCTCCATAGTTGGTAATGGTCTTGACTCTTCCAGTGACCATGGAACCGATTTCTAATTCCGAGATGGGCTTTCCAGCAGCTGGCTTTTTCTTGGCAATGGAGGCACGAGCAGGACGATCGGCATTGTGAGCTTCCTCGGAACTTTCAATTCCATCCATAGCATCCACTTCAGGAGGGACTTCCTCGGTGGGCGCTTCCGACATGAAGAGTCCCTGTGGTGCTGCCACACTGCTGGCCACAAAGGCTGATGGCACAAGCAAAAGAGAGTAGCACAGAGAGAGCAATTGACAAAGATGAGATGAAAGGAAAAGGAGAAGCAGCTACTGCTACTACTAAGGTACGGCAGGGTAAAACACCCGGCACATGTTCTTTCCAACACTTACCAGGCTGGACTGTGAAGCCGGAAGCCACGCCAACAGAAAGCAAGAATGCAGCAACGGTGGTTGTAGTGAAACGCATGGTGGATGAGCTATGAAATGAACTAATTGATTATGCAATGAGATATCCCGTCGTGTGGTCAACAGCAGCGCCTCAAGTAAGCAACAAAAGCAGAGGAGAGAGGAGCAGATGGAACAGGGAAATTGGATTCGATTCTCGGACGAGGAGACAGTTGTCACCCAGAATTGATTGATGGGTTGTCGTTGAGGCTGACGTACTTCAAGCTCTACGAGACTTGCTACCAAAAACGTCTGGCCGTCCCTCGTGTTTTGATGATTTTGTGTCCGTCGGCCTCATGGTTCTTCTCGATGCTACACCACTTCACTAACATCAACCAGAGAATACCCTTCATCGGTACCTCAATTGTAGACATCAACCAAACAATCAAGATGATGAAGAATTTGATCCTGATCCTCGTTGCTTTGTTCTTGGCTTCGGCTTCTGCATTTGCACCTCAGCCATTTGTGCGAGAAAGTCACAGGTGAGTGCAGTGGAGACCATGGCCGTATCGGTTGTGCATAGAATAGGATTGACAATCTCATCATCATCTTTATCTCTCTCTATTGTGATGTACCCAGTGTCTGCTTTGCCAAACATGTCAATGACAAGGCTGCCAAATGGGCTGCTTCCAAGAGGCCCAAGAAGTCTCGACCTTCAGATATCAACAAGACACCCCCAATCTATGAACTGCACTCTATCCAGAAACCAAGCGAATTCACAATCAGCGATGCACCAGCCACGCCCGTTACCAAGCCAGAGGGCTAAGCTGGATGCGATACAATGCAGTTCAATGCCTGATCTTCCTTGATTTGTTCAAAACAATCTGCAGGGGTAAATGCCTTGTTAGTAGGACTTGGAAAAGGAGGAAATAAACTTGAATGAACAGGACAAGTGGAATCCTTTTAGCGTGGAAAGAAGAGAGTGTTAAGGTTCTAGAAACACCAGTTTGATGTCAAACTACAAATCGATAGACAATCTACAACCTGCTGGATGGAGGCTTTCGTACAAACATACAGATATACTTTGCTTAGCTAGCTAGTAGATAGATACACAAAATGTAGCTATGTCAGGTCGGGGACAGTACAGTCGTACCCGCGGGGACAGAAGCATGCTCTTCGCATACTTATTGTGCCGCCGCACACAGGTTGGACAGCGGACCTCGATAGTCTGGACTCGTTGCCATGACAAACAGCGGCATGCTTGGCTGCACATGATACCGTAAATGGAGGGCCATCCCTTCACATAGCGAACACTCGCTGCGTCGATCCTGATACAGTGCCGTCAGGTCTTCGAAGCCCGTCCTTTTTACTGTGGATCCCGAGCTTTATCCAGCAACAGAGGAATGTCATGCGAGAATACCTTTTCCATCTCCCGCACCATCTTCTTGTCCAGCTTCGGGAACTCCCCGATATCCTTAATCTCATACAGGGCCTTTCGCAGGGCGTCCGCTGGCGGGAAATCTCCCATGGGCAAACCATACCTTCGTGATGCACCCTTGAACTCTTGCTCCAATCTCCTAATCAGCCGTTCCTGCTTTCCTCTTCTTTGCCAAGGATTGTATGGCAACTGCTTTCGCAAGTAATGGATAATGTAGGCGTGCACTTTGACACTGCGAGCTCGTTTCACCAATTCATTGATGCGTCTCATCACGGCTTGCTGGGGCAGTTTCATAATGTCGTCCAACAAGTCCATTTCTTCACGCTGCAGCAAATCCTGTTGACCCGTTTCCTTCAGTGGTTTGTCCCAGAAACTGCCCATGTAGACGCGGCACACTTCGGGTGTATTCATGACCTTGCCCAAACTCCACATCAAGGCACCGTAGACACGCATCAATTGCTGCAAAGGCACAACCAACAGAATGAAAAAGCGAGAGGAAGAGCAGAAGCAACCGAAGAATGGACGGGGTTTAGATACAGTGCAGTGCCTTCACACCAATTCCTTGTTGTTGTCCGTTTGTACATACCTGAGGAGAGATGTTGTCTGCCTTGTTCAGAACGATCCGAACTTTGTCCAGATGAGGGATCATGAGCTCCATGACTTGTTTCATTTCATCGGAAATGTCTAGCTTGTGTGCATCAAACATAATGATAATGAGATCGGCACGTTCCGCAAACCATTTCATGACGGATTCATAGTCATAGTTTCGATCCCGTTGCTTTTGTCCACTGAGAATACCAGGAGTATCAATGAGTGTGACGTTGCGTAGAATGTCACTGTCCAGTTCCACTCCTTCCATTCGAGACAAAAAGTTGTTTCCAAAGGGACTCAAGCCGGTAAAGGGACGAAAGTTTTGAGCACAGAGTGCCGCCCCAGGAACAATCTTGTCATCGGCACCGTACAGGACGGCCGTGAATCGATCCGTGGTCGGTTCTGGTCCCACCCGAATGCCAGGAAAGTCGCGGCCCAGGAGATACTTGATGAAGGATGTCTTGCCAACACTGTTGTTGTGTATACATACATATAGATTGATTGATTGGATTATCACGGGTGAGGAATCATGGGCCAATGGACCGAACATAAAGAGTAGCAGTGAAAGGTACGTACCTAAAGGGCCCCAGCAACAATACTGCTGGCGGGGAATCAAAGTCTGCCGGTGACAGCGGTGGTGAATGAAAGTGTCCATACCTGGAGGACAATTCAATGGGTAGAATCTTTTTCTTGTACAGTCTGGCCAAACCTTTCATTATGTATTCCTTGTTGAAAGAAGACAGATCGGGCTCATTGCTATTCAATTCGGTTGTGGGATCTTCATCCCAAGGAACTTGTTCATCTTCCGTGATCATCATGGGGTCATCATTATGATAGGATGCGAATGATGGCATGGGAGGATCATTGCTGCCAGGTGGCGGTTGTCCATATGGATTTAGATCTTGTTGTGGTGGTGGCAAAGATGGATCAGGTGGATATGGATTCTGTTGTTGTGCTGAATGATGCTGATAGGGATTATCGTTTCCTGGACTAGGAGGATAAGAAGATGATGATGTGGATTGTTGCTGTCCGTAAGCGGGTCTATCGTTGACACTGACTGTATCTCCATAACCAGGAAGGTCGGCAGGCAAATCCGGTGGGGGTCTTTGCTGCTGTTGGGTTTGTCCGTGCTGCTGATTGTACTGTGGCGGTGGATTCTGCTGCTGCTGCGCATGATACCGGTGATTGTCATTATTATTTGGTGGTGGATAATTATTATTGCTTCGATACTGGTCGTATCCATCACTGCTACCTCCCCTCCATCCCAACAAAAAGGCTTGGGGGCGAGTCAATTGATAATGATGTTGCCTTGACAGTAACAGTGGATCTTCCTGATTCTTTTTTCGTCCAAACAATCCTCTCCAGCCCAGAAACGCTCGTCCTAGATTCTTGCCAATGCCTGCATGACAGACGGTGGCTTGCATAGACAGCAATCCCACGCAACAGATCTGGAGAGCAGCCGCTCTGCGACGGCGACGACCAAAAGATGTCATCGGGATACCTCAGCAGCAGCAACTCAACGTCGTCTCAGCACACGATCCAACTTGGGGTCAAGTCTATCAAAGATAAATAAAGCACCGAGTTGTGCTCTAGCCGTGGGGAATAAAGAGAACGAGCAACAACTGTAGCTAGCTAGGACGAAGTCCCTCTTCCGTCTTATTTGATAGCCATCAATGAGCGTTTTTGTTCTTTCCACGTGGCGATGGACGGAATCCCGCGTCACTCGTCCCTCCAACAAGACTTGTTTTTTTTTTTGGCGCTCAGGTTTTTGGAAAGTGGCATTGGCTCTGCTCGAACTCGACCGAACCGCTCAGATACAAATCCTCTCGCTTGGATAAAGCATCACCTGCTCAACAACAAAGAGTTCCTCTCTCCGGCTCTTGTCCTCTTCGGTTCACTCTGGCTTGCTGCTATCTTTGCCGCTGTTGCTGGCTTGTTATTCTTTATCCCTCTCGTCTTTCCAAGTCAGCCAAGTCGTTCATCTTCGATCAACAATCAATATCGAAACAACATGCCCCCTCTATTAACTCAAGTGGCCCGAACCATGGACGGTCTTCCGTTGGTATCGAGTCAATCTCCCTCGCCTGGAATGCCCGTCACCAACAAACATCAACAAGAAGCCAAAGAAATTATTCGAAAAATGACCGTGGGGGGAGCACCCACACGAATGTCGGTCGATTCGGGAGACCGAGCTTTTTCCTTCATGACACGCGATAATCTTTGTTTCTTGGTATTGACCGAGGCTCCCTATCCCAAACGATTGGCATTTTTGTATTTGGAAGATATTGCCGATTTGATTCTGGGAGAATTGGCCAGAGAATTTGGGAATGAGGTAAGAAGAAGATCCATTATCCATCATTGGTGGGCGCTATCTATTATTAAGATTTCATTCCTCATCATTCAATTCTTTCCTTCTTTTTCTGTGATGTGTTTCAGTGGCGCTCTCAAATTGACCAAACGGCGAGACCCTTTCGATTTATCCAGTACGATCCACTCATTCAACGAAAGCAACGAGACTATCGAGATGTCAATCAACAAAAGAGTAGACTCAATGAAGACTTGACTGAAATCCAATCCATTATGCGCAAAAATATCAATGAAATCCTAGACAGGGGAGAAAAATTGGATCAGGTCTCAAGCATTAGCAATGAACTCAAACAAAAATCAAAGGACTTCAAATGGGGAGCAAAGAAACTCACGTGGCAGGCCAGACTGCAGCAATACGGTCCGATGCTCGTGGGGACTTCCATTGTACTCATTGTCCTTTATGTCAAAATATTCCATATTGGCTTCTAGCAGAAACACACTTGCCTCTTGATCAGCTTAACATTTTACAGTATCATAGTCCATACCGTAGCAAAGAATCGAATCGAGCACAGTTGCCAAGCTGAATTGAACAATGGAAAGTCTCTTTCCTCATGGTACCTACCCTGAGCTAAGTTACTACGTCGCGTGTCAGAGGGGACTACGACCCAGCTAGCTAGTTAGTCCAGGAGGAGGGTAATTAAATAAATGCATAGAGTTGTTATTCCCCGAAATAATCAACGATCTGGTCCAATCAATTGCAGAGTCACAGCCCGCGGTACCAGTACCGCGACACATGCCACAACTCGGATTTCCCCATGGTGGCAGTTCCTCTGCTGTTTCAATCTTTGTAGTTCACAGTGGTGCGGCCCAGCCTTCGTGTCCTGTCGTTGATCTTGCATTTGCAGCTGGAAATGTTGGGATCGCCCCCCTGGACGACTTTCATCACAACTCCGTTCATGGCATTGGGGCAATCTTCGTTGTTGCACATGAATCTAGCATAGCCATCGGCAGATTGATTCACCCTGGTATAAATGTAGCAAAAGGTGTCGTCTGGGTTCGATTGCGCCCAAGAGGACACGTCTTTGAGCCCACCAAGATTGACTTTAGTGACCTCGTAGAATGAAGAGGCGTCACTTTCAGCATCACGCAGTCCACGTCTTTTTCGCTGTTCCTTCGAATCCTTTAGTGGGAGACAGCGAAGAGACGTTTGAATCTCGTACATCGTCACAAGCTTTGCGCCTTCCTTCATACTGGCGACCAACAGATGTTAAGACAGCAGAGACCAGTTAGTTCAGGCAGCAGAGAGTGGCAGCAGCAAATGCTTGTGGCGGTGGCGTACCTGGCAAAGACGCGCGCCAAATGATCATCGAGATTACGTTTGCCATGCGTGCCGCTTCGTTGGCTGAAAACCCCATCATAGTTGTTGCAAAAGGCATAGTCGGCTTCGATAAGCCATTTCCGGTGAGCACGGCTCGAAAAGTCTCCCTGTTTCAAATCAATTCTAGCTGGTTCAAATCCACTCTTGTCTGTGTCGCGGTGGATGTCACTGAACCCATCCATGATGTGTAGCGCAAGATTGTTTCTTCCCTCATCAAGTTCAATGCCCCTTGCTTCGGTGCCGAAGGTATACGCAGCCTGGAAGCAAGGCATTCCCAAGCCGTGGCCAATGTCGACAAAGATCCCCTTTCCATCCTTCGTCATTCCCATTAGTTTGAATATTTTGTCCATGGCTCCTGGCAGAATCCTTCCGTATTGCTGATGGCTGTTTCTGTTGGAAGCTCTTACAGTCTTGGTGTCCTCGATTTCCTCAAGGGTCTCCCCACGTTTTTTCTCAAACAACTTCACCAGCTCTTTGAACCCCTCCAGAGTGTAAGGCTTTGGATTCTGGTGATTCTGGTTCTTGAAGGTGTCATAGTTTTCTTCGACAGCACGATCCACACTTTGATAGTCCTCGGAGCAACTAGTAGCCTCAGTCGGCAAAGATGCCACTGGAGCAACACCGGCAGTCGTGGTACCCACAGCTGAGCCAATAGACAGGTCCACTTCGTGTAGATAATCCCCGCCAAGACCTTGATGCGGTGGCAACTCTCCCAGATGACCGTGTTCTCTTGCAGGAAGCTTCCTGTCCTCGTTGTCGTCATGGATGTTCGTGTCTACGCCATAGTCCTCCTCGTCATCCGAACACAAAATATCAATGATTTCAGGTTGCTTCGGAATTTCTCGTGCCAAAGCATATGCAGCACCGTTGGAAGCGTGAAAAGCCGCCTTGCTTTCACCGCCTTTGTTTTGTGCACGACGCGCAACGCGAGAAATCTGCTGAACACGCCCGTTGAAAATCGCATCTCTTGATACAGCAGCATCAGAGATCGCTGGCATCTTCGAATCTGCAAGCGCAACATTTCTATCAATACCCTTGTCGTCTTCCTCATCAGAGCTGCCATCCAAGGTGATACAGTTGCCAGACGTCTCATTGTTACGACTTGCGACCGACGATGGGCTGGATTTTCGAGCCTGGAGATGATCTCCTCTTCCAAATGGTGGTTGCTCATGGTTGTTATTCGCTTCGAGGGTTCCTGTTCTCCCAACATCTTTGGCTTTGTTCGTGTTCTGGCTACGTGAAGGGCCGGGAGCAAAGCCAGGCCTTTGCGTGTCGGGAGGGCCAGCCAAAACTTCAACCTCATCGTCAGATTCGTTTTCATCGGCCATCGGTTCTTCTGATCCAGAGGACTCTGGACTGCCGCTGCTATCGTCAGAAACAACGGGAGGTGTCATTGGTTGTTCAAAACTAATTCTTTCACTTTCATCAGATTGTTTGCCGTTTGACTGATTTTGATGAGGCCTGCTGCTCAATTTCTCTTTGGCAGCCGGCTGATGGGTGTTGTTGGGCTGTGAAACTCCAGATTGGGACTCTTCCGTGGACGGGTTATGGCCTTGGACATCAGAATATGTCCAAACCTCCATCTCCTCATCATCATCAGATTCTTCCAGCTCAATCGCCTCTTCCAGGGTATCGCCTGTTTTCGGAAAAGATTCTGGTGCCGCCTCTGTCTGTGATCTTCCCTGCATATTGGTGGAAACAGCCATGCGAGATATTCCTCGCGACGTAGTTGGAGCTGTCGTCTGCTCATTCAGCATTGGACGTGTTGCGAGTCGCTTGTGCCGTCTCAATTCCCAAGCATTGCTTGTTGTTATCACCCTTGATCTTCCCGACAATGATGAGACCGAAGGACGCTTCGTCCCACGCTGTTCAGGGACAGAATGTGTGAGAGAGTGGTTGGGAGCGACCACTCCCACGCTACCGCCGTCGAAACCTCGATTGTCGCCATGGAAAGAAGGCCTTGAGACCTTTTGAGTTTTAGCGCTCCTGGCATCTTTAGACGCCATACTTTGACCATCCAAAGAGTTTCCAGAGTGTGAATCCGATTGAGAGGGACGACGAGGCGCCACATTGTAGGAATTCCTCCCGTCGCTGTGCCGCCGGTAGGCAATGACGTTGTTGTTGCGAACATGTTGGCCGTCCATTTTAGATTCTCCCTGTCCCATTCTTTGACGCCTTACACTGATTCTTCATCCAGTCTTAACTTTACAAGGAATGCGAAACAATGATGAGGGCCCCAACAAGAAGAAAGTCTGAAGAAAAGCTTGGATATGCCTGTGTGACGGCGGTCGGTTTGATTGCTTTGGAGTTATTTGACGAAGAAAATGCTGCTTTCCGTTGCTTCTGTCTCAACTGCAGAGCTGGTGGAGAGCCCACCGTGCTCCACGGTCCCACGCCCTAATGTTAAGAAACTATAACGTGAAAATCTTCGAAGCCCGCCACTTGCTTTCTGGCTCTGCAACAGCATCTATTCTGGCTAGCCAGTCAGTACCAACTACTCCTGGGCTGTTGCCCCTTTCCACTTTGCCTACTACCTGGTAGTCCTGGTCAAGATTTTTGCCTGAACGGTCATCTCATGCACTCACCCTGGGCAGCCACTCTGGATTGCAGCGGCCAAGGATTTTCGTGCAATGCTTCCACCTTAACTAAAGCCTAACAATGGCAGTGCGAGGCAAAGACACAACAACCTCGACGACTAATTATGCCATTCGCTGCTACGGCTCTGTGAGTAGGGAGAGGCAGGCTTGGTTTCCCCCACATGCTGTGCATGGTATCGTATGTTCTTTGCCAAGTGTAACTACTCGCAACCCAACCACTTGACTGGTCAGGTGCTCATACTGGTACAGGCTCACTTTGTACACGCACCGATAGATAAGGAATCGAGTGCTACGCAATCAATTCCCCAGCCATGTTGCGACGGTCGCACACAAGTAGTTGTAGTGTATTCACTCAAGGAACACGACCACCATATTTCCGGGAAAATGTAATAAGTGTGCCAATCCAATGGCGGACGAATCGAATCCTACCGGTACCGGTAGATACAGTATCTGCGAACCTGGTTTCGAGGGTGTGTCGAGTGAGGACTTTCCTGAACAGATCAGCACACTTTCTCCCGTCATGTTGTTGTTGGAGAGCTGTTGTCGACTTCTAGGAACTGCTTATTGAAGCTGGGGTGTCCAACACACACCTTCGATCTAGCTTTATGTTGTGTTATAGTTTTCTATGCTACTTTTCGTAAAAGTCCCGTCCACGCCGTCCATTATCGGTAGTACAAGTAGAGTCTTGGTGATTCTAACTTGGCGCTGGAATGCTTGCAGTTCTGTCCTGAATCACTTGTCATATACTAAAAACATGCTTATTGCGGCAGGATCTACATGGAAATGAGCGAGTCATCCTCGGAATCACTGCTTGCACCATTCTGAAGCTCAAGTGCAAGAGTGTCATCAATGCTCGCAGTATTGGAGGATTTGCATGATGTGTCATTGGAAGGGCATGTCTCCATCTTTTGGTCGTCTTCGGTTCCGTCCGTGCCGCACTTGTTAGCTCCTTCGTCGAACGATGGTGCTTCCTCTTGGTCGAGGCCTTTGATTGCATCGGTATCAGTGCCAACAAGAGGTTCCTTCGTTTCCTCTTCGCCCTCTGCCTCTGTGACTTTTTCGACAGAAATCCCCGTCATTTCGATGGTTTCTTCTTCTTCTTCTTTCTGAGGGGGTTCCTCGGATGGCACTTCCATTTCATCCTTTTCAGCTTTGTCATCTTCTTTGAATGACTTTTCTTCCTCTGGTAGGTCCTCGCATGCCGTAGTGGGTACTAGTACTGTAGTGAGCTCATCAAGTTCCTGTTCGTCAATCGCTTCTACCGTGGCCTCCTCGGAAACTTCCGCTTCGATTGTTGTTTCTTCCTGCTTTTCCTTGTCCGTTTCCACGGGTGTGACTTCTGCGACGGTTAGTTCGTCTTCTTCCTTAACGTTGTCGGCAATCACTGGTGATTCCACAGACTCTTTTGGTTTGTCTTTGTCTGTGGTTGAGTTTCGACGATTGTCACCAATCTGTTTCAACATTCCAGCTGCCTTGACAAAGAGTTCCTTGGCAGAGTCTCGAATGGCGAGGACCTTGTCCAATTCCTTTCCATTGGCGACGTGAGTTTCTTTCAAATTGGAAAGTTCTTGGTCAAACGCTGCGATTCGTTCCTTCATGCCACATCCGTTGGTGGCGAGTTTCTGCTGATGCTCCCGAAGCAACGTCAATGTGCTCTTGGACTCTTCTAGCAACTCTTTGGCTTTGGCAAGGTCGGCAAGGACGACTTCCACCGAACTTTTGGTGGAAGAGGTTGATTGAGAGGTGACTGTTTCGGTTTGCGTATTGACAGTTGCCGTGTCGTCAAAGCTTTTGCGAGGCCGCTTGTCGAGGCGGGGAGATTCTTCCTCTTCTCCCGACAGCGCATCCGCGTCTCGCTTGGGAGAAGGATTGGGATCTTCGCTATCCATTGCTACTTCTTCCGTGGTATTGACTTGCATTACAGCACCATTTTCCTTGTCTTCTCCTGGCGGAACATCAGCGACGATGTTCTCGTTGCTTTTCATGGGAAGCTCAGCCCCTTTACCATTGCCGAAGCCATTGGGGGAGGAAATCTTCTCTCCCAGAACTTGGTTTGGAACCGAACGATTGGGGGAAAGCACAGAGTCAACCATTGTCAATCAATCTAGCTAGCAAGTACAGTCGTCGACAACAACAACAAGAACACAAGGAACAACAGCCTCGATCAAAAGTGAGTGAAGAAATAAATGTCGTTGATCACCAGAATGTGGTGGTTCAAAAGAGCATCGGCTCGACTGGCGCGCTGTCCCGGAATAAGCTTCGGGACTGAACCAAGCGGAAAGCTGCGGAACCAAACCAAAACAACCACAGCGTTCTCAAAAGGTGTGGCCATGACGGAAGGAGCTTGAGCAACAACGCGTACCGGTATCATAGCAAATAAGAGGTTTAATACTGCCAACCAGACCATGACAATCTACTCCAGGAATCACAACAGCGGTGGATCTCTTTTGGTGCTTCTGCTGTCACCAATTCTCTGTTCGGCACTGCACCACAATTTCTACATCAAGAATGATCTTCGCACTGTCATTGGACCCGTCGGGGTGCCATTTGGCTTCTTGGTGGATGGTTACTACGATCTCCAAGTCTTTGATTTTTCCTTGAATCTGGACAAGAAAAAATACAAGGCGGTCAAGGGACAAGAAGACCTTGAACCCATGCAAGTTCTGGACAATCTCGAAGCGGGTCTTTTATTACAGAGATTTGAGAATGAAGCCGCCTTCAATCAATACATGGATGAACTCAAGGCCAATTCCAGTGTTTGTGCTTTTGAGTATTTTCTGGACGACGATGATTCCTACCTCAAATCTTTGCCAGGATGGGACGACAATGAAGAAGACCACAAGATTGAAGGAGACTTCACGGCCGAAAATGGAGTCTTCTTGTCCCTCAAAGCCTGGCAAAAACAAAAGAATGTCGGAGTCGATTCAGCCATGAGACACGTGCACTACAAATTCAAGCCTGGCGAGGATGGACTCTATTTTTTGATTTATCAGATATGCCCCACGAAAGCCAGTGGAAGTTCTGTGGTCCCTCGTGGAGTGGTCTCTACCTTTGAATTAGACTTCCATTTTCTCAACTTTGATCGATGGGGAAAACAGTCCTACTTGACTGCAGGAGAAATGAACATGCCAATGGTATTCTTTTACTTCTTTGTCAGCTACTCCTTTTGTGCTGGGTGGTGGATCAGCAACATACGCAAGGCTAGGAACGACAAGTCACCTGGAAAACCGGTTGTCTATGCCATTCATCACCTCATGTCGGCACTCCTTTGCGTCAAGGTGATTACGGTCTTGCTGGAAAGCATTCGGTACCATTACATTCGTGTCGTGGGTCATGCCGAACTATGGTCCTTCGCCTACTACACGTTCGACTTTTTAAAGGGAACGTTCCTGTTTGTGGTGATTCTACTCATTGGATCTGGGTGGAGTTTTGCCAAACCCTTCTTATCGGGCAATGAAAAGAAGGTCATCTTGGCCATTCTCATATTGCAAGTAATCAACAACATTGCCTTGGTAGTCTTGGCACGCGAAACAGAAGGAGAGGCTCGATTCGACGGCTGGCAGGCAATCTTGCATTTGGTGGATATCATTTGCTGCTGTGCCGTTCTAGTGCCGATTGTCTGGCAGGTTAATCAGTTGGAAAAGAGCGTGATTGTCGAGGATCCAAATCACCCCGACTACAATGGCAATAACGACAACGAGGCTGCGGCGGAAGGAGTTGTTCCCAGAGAGGGTGACATGGATATGGGTGAAAAGGGACGAATCTTGTCCAAGTTGAAGCTCTTTCGAACGTTCTACATGATGGTGGTGGCGTACATTTATTCAACGAGAATACTTGTGTACCTGTTTGCGACTATGTTGTCCTACAAGCATCTTTGGATACGATATTTTGTGATTGAAGTGGTCACGTTGACGTTTTACGTGGTGACTGGTTTCCAGTTCCGACCAATGGCCGACAATCCGTACCTGGGAGTTAAGCGAGAAGATGACTTGGGTGACGATGATAATTTCATCAATGAAAGAGAGCTCGAAATGAAATAATCGCACAAATAGCTGCATGGCACGATGCTGCCGTTTTTGATAGACTACATGTACCTGTTCAAAACACAAATGAGGCATCGTAGGGAATCGAGAAACCCTTACCGTATGTAGCTAGATCGTGCTTTAGTGCAGCTCATCAACCTTCATCAAACTACATTTACGTTCAGCAACGATAGAAGAGGCAACATGCGGTTTGACGTGAGACCACAGAATTTACCCTTTTTGTCATTGCAACATGATAAGGAAAACCAACAACGGAGTACCGGTAGTATCGACTGGAGGCAACTTAAACCATTTGACAGCGAGTTCGATCCATTGCTGCCAAGGTACTAGTACCGGTAGAAACTGGAAGTAGAATAAAACTGGGGACCTAGAAACTTGAGTATCACTACACAGCTAGCTAGTTAGATTGTTCAAGGGCATTACTGCAAAAATGCCTTGGTGTTACTAGGACTTCTTTCATCCTATGGTACCGGTACTCTCCACACAAAATCCAAAACAAACAGTCAGAAGCAACCGTTCCCGCCACAATCTCTTTGTTTTTTCTTCCACTGTTTTGTTTACTTCTTTTTGAGAAGGAAGCCCTTGGGAGCCTTGAAGTCTTTTTCATCAAAGAGATCGTACATACCCCTCAACACCTTGACAGTACGACGGTAATCGGAGGGAACCTTGGAAACGAGGCCAGTGGCTGGGTCAAACACCAGTCCATGAACTCTTGGATAAGCAAACGGAGCCTCAGGATCGGCATGTGTCTCATATCGCCTCTTTTGGACGACTGCAGTCTTGTAAACATTCAGACATTGCTCGGCCACATTCAACTCAACAAGGCGGCGATGGCGTGCTTCGTCATCCACAATAGCATCCAGCTCATCCTGATGCAATCGGTAGACATCTCGAATGTTCTGCACCCACGCATCCAACACAGGTCCAATATCTTTGTTGCCCATTCCAGCGCGAACACCACCACAGTCATAATGACCGGTAACGAGAATGTGTTTCACTTTCAAGTGCTCCACAGCATATGTCATCACAGCCAGTAGATTGAGATCAGAGCTGACAACCATGTTGGCAATGTTGCGGTGGACGAAAAGTTCTCCCATTTCCAATCCAATCAAACTACTGATCTCCACACGGGAATCCGAGCAGCCAATGTAGAGAAACTCAGGAGATTGACCAGATCCCAATTTGGGAAAGAAATTGGGGTCTTCCTTGTTAACCTTATCAACCCACTCACGATTGTGCTTGAACAACCGCTCCAATGCAGGGTCAGTGGGAGTTTTATCGCCGCCTTTGCTGCAGAATTGCCTGGCCATTCCAGCTGTTGCTCGCCAGGGAGACGAAGCTTGCTGCTGAAACAGGCAGTTCTTCAAGGGCATACGAGCCGCTGCAAGTCTGCTAACAGAGAGCACCATGGTCACAACTATCTTCTTTCTTCGAGTTGGGAAGGTCTTTTGGGAGGTTGGGTTGTGGAGGGATGCCGAATTTGAGAAGGCGATCTGGCTACCGGTAGCTGGGTGGGTTCGGCAGATTGTCTGGATCTTTTGGATCTTTTTGGAATGTTTTTCTTTAGGCCTACTAACTACTAGTAATGTACAGTTACATGTACCGTTCGCCCGGATGCAATTCAGATCGATTGGCTTACAGCGCTTCTTTTGCAGTCGAACAAACCCTCTGATCTGGTATATTGACCAGCCACCGGTAGCAGCTAGCAAGCTACAGTACCGGTAGTGCAGCAACCTCCAAACGCAGCAGCGGTTTGCTGCACATTGGTACAGCCTGCGTCCAGGGAGGATTGGGTATGGTGCTGGGAGATACGATAGAGAACTCTCCTGGCCGAAGGCCCTTCCGCCCTAGAAAGACCCGTACAGGTCGGGGTTCCTTCCAAATTTTCAAAGGGGTGAGTCGGGAGGGCTTGTAAATCCTTGCCGAAGATGTTCCCTGAGACACTGAATTTTAATTATGTTTTGCCTTGTTTCCTTCTTCTGCCATAGAATGAGTTCCAACGATTAAAACTTCTGGTGAGCGAGTTCTATCAAGTCTGGTAATTCATAGATGCCGATGCCGATGCAGATGCAGATCAGTTGGTGGACATGTACCATGCCAAGCCATGTTTTTGGCGTTACCAGGTACAGGTGCACTCGACAGACCAAGGTACGTATTATATCATCATCTTAACCACCAGTCTGTTTCACGGAGAAGATGTGGCTCATTCTTCAAGTCCTGGGCCAGAGATCATCAGTTCCTTGAGAAACCTGTGCCACTTTATAGTACATAAAGGTATCCGAATGGCAGACAATCAATTGTGAATGTGCATTGTGCTGGTGGTTTGGGCCAGTGGTCGGTCACCCTCTTGACGAGCGATTCTGGGACAGGTAGATTGGGCTTTGAAGGAATATCAGTTTTTAAGCATTTCTGCCGGCCTAAACGCAACCTCCCAAACTGACACAGCAATCACAAAAAAACAGACGACCATGACGCACCAACCGCCTCGAAGACCAAAACGCAGCAGCAGGAGCCGCCGAGACTCCGCATCTAGTAGACAGCTGCCCTTTTGGAGTCAGGAAAGACCTGCTCAGGAGACGGCGGCTTATCATGATCCCTTGCTGGACTCCCATCGTAGGGACTCACAACACAACCACTACCGCCTCCACGACAGACCGCAACAGAGTCGAAGCCTGATTCCCTGGTCACCAGGACAAACCATCGCTTCTGATTCGCCTCCGTCAGGCATGGATCCATACATCCATGAATCTGGTGATGAATATAGCGTCGACAGAACCATGTACGAGGAGGCTGACGACGAAGAAGATTCGACGCGCTGTTGCCGTCTTCCATCATGTTGTTGCTTCCTTCCGTTCTTCTGCTGTTGCTGTCGTGGCTGTTCCCGCCCTACGTCCGACCAAGAAGACAGTGGTCGACAAGAGAACTCTCGAATCAGGATTCGAAGACGTGGAGTTTGCCTCAGACTATCCTATTTCGTGCTTGTGATGTTGACGTTTGCGGCTCTCTACTACAAGTCGTCCAAGTGCACTAACCAGAACTGGACCATGAATGTGGGAGAAAGCCGTCACGTTGCGACTGCTGGTTTCCTTACTGACTCTGTCCAAGTGACTACCAAGACAACCTCGTCATCATCGTCAGGTGATGGAAGGAAGAAGAACCACACAATCTACTACGAGAACAACGACAATCAGACAGTGTCTCGCGGAGTGGCTGTGTACGCCATGGGAAGTCCCCACTGTCCTCTCCTCAATGGACCACCGGTGACGCTCGATTCTCCCACCCAAAAGTTGGTCCTTCTGCCCCATGCTTTTGAGTACCAGTACTTTTATTTGAACAAGGGATCCACGATGCACATATCCGTGCACCAGATGCAAGGAGCAACCAACATTCTCGTCTTGAAAGGAAACAAAGTATTGTCGCGCATTCAAGACAAGAAAAAGAATGCAGATGCCTATGACTTGATGAGCGACTTGGAGCTAGAGTTCAACATTGAACAAATACTCTTGGAACGCTTTTCTTGGACCCAAGAGAGAGCCCCCATTGAGTTTTCGTTCACATCTCCAGCCAACGACGTGTATGTCCTGCTCTACGACAACGCAGCCATGAGTGAAGGAGCAACGCTGAATGTGAAATACCATAGCGTCCTAACAACTTATGACCTGGAAGGGCTCGTACCTTGGTGCAGCCATGCATCGCCTGTAAACCCCTCGGATGACGACGTTATGGAACTGTCCTATTTCTCTTGTCCCCCGCTGCAGGTGTCCATGGCAGGTTGTATCATTGTTCAGGCCATACAGAGGCATCCCCACAGTCAAAATCATACCAACGATGACTATTTCCAGCTTGGAGGCGATGGAACTATGGAAGTTACCGTCAACGTAACCAGGCAGTGGTGGTACATCAGCGCGTTGGCGACGATTCCAGCGTTGTTTTTGGCATTGATTTGCTACTGCCGCAAAAGGCGACAAAGACGGAGGCTGAGGAGGTGGCGAGAGCGATACTATCGAAGAACGGCTTCTCGTGACATGCCACAGCCACAGCGTGAAGAACCCAGCTACCAGTATATGCAACTACAGGAAGGTGGCGAAGAATCTGATGGCAACGCAGAGGGTGAAAACATCACTTCAGAAGCCCAACAACTTAGGTCTTCGTCAGAAGGAGGCAACACAACAATGATTCCAGCAGAGAATGTTGTTGTTGTATCCAACCAATGAGCGTTGCTTTGGCAGGGCCTTCACGGCCATAGCACAGCAAGTGGATCTAGTGGATCTATGGAGGCTTGATAGTACACTTTTACTTTATTAGAACACTGTTTGTACAAAAACAAAATTGGGCTACTTCTTTCGAACCAAAAGCCAATACTTGGCCCACCAACCACTGTCGTCGTAGCTCTTCTCGAGGAAACCAACTTGGTGGCCTGGCATTGCTTCTGCAAATGTGGCGTGGCTCTTTTGATCAGACAAGTCGCTAATAAACGCATTTGTTTCAATGTGCATGAACACGTTGCCGGCCTGCAGCAGGTTTGGGACAACCCCCCAACCAAAGAAAATGATTGCACCACCAGCCTTCAGCACGCCTTGTTCTGGATCAAACTCCTTTGTGGGTATGGAGTAACAAGGGGAACCTCCTTCGACGAGCTTTGTACTTTTCACCTGTATGGAATTTCCTGTTCCATTGATAATACTTGCCGCAATGCAACGTCGGGAGCTCAACCCCGAGAAGACCTGACCCCAGCTGCTCACGAGCGCCCAGGCCTCTTCGTCCAAAGTTTTGAGAAAGGAACTTGACTCGCTGCCAATTGCTCGCACTCGTGCAAAGCACTGTTCGATGAGGTCAATTTCATCCTTGATTGTACTGCTGAGGCGCTTTCTTGTCTTGTTGCAACTTCCAAAGACATGGTTGACCTGACGCTTCTTGATTCCGGGAATTTGATGACGTGACAAGCTTTCATGCTGGTGATTTAGTAGTGAAATATTCAAATCAGCCAGATCACTAGACGAATTTCCCTAGTTGAAACGAAGAGCAAGCCAAGAGAAGTCAGAGACGATTTCCTTCGCAGCTCCATCCAACATACCGGTATATATTATGAGGCCTTACCATCTTTCGTTGCTGCATGGAGAGCAATTTGTGAAGTTCTTCCGCTCCCTCCATTTGAAAGATGTATGTCTTCAGTCCTGTTTGGCTGAACACAACAACCCTCATGTTCCCTTCCGAAATGCCGAAATGACTGATCTCTTCCCAACTCACGCACCATGGCTCTCTCGTGCGCCGGTCAATTGCCCAGAGGCATTGTTCACTGGCAATAATAAGGTGACTTGGGATGTTGACATGCCCAATGTACACATCATCGACGCTTTCGCCACCCGTCACGATTTTTTGTGCTGAAGCAAGCGGCAAGAAGAAGCATTGAGAATGATACCACAACCCGCGAGTTGGTGACAATAGCACAACTAGTTTCCTTCACGTACCTTTTGCTGCCCGCTCGTCGTACGGAAGCAACCTGACACAGTTCTTCTTCTCCACTGAATGACTTGGAAGTGCTCGCCTCAGCCTCTTGGGTATCTTGGGGAGGACTTCTTTGTTGCTAGTTGCATCCGACACGTGGTTCATCACAAGAACAGCGGCATCGCCAATGCCAACAATGGGTTTCACTAGCGCTCCGACGACCGCTTTGCCAACCCCCTTTACAAACCCAACCGGACCGTGCTTGGAAGCATAAATTGTTGGCTGTTCTACGATGCCCATAGCTCCAGACTTAAGGCCTCGTACAACGCTTGCCCCGGCCAAGTAGAGAGAATCGCCGAATGTCCTCTTGGCCACACCGCGACTCATGGCATCAGTCAGCATTCGTTGGTGAGCCTTTCTCTCGTCAATGAAGTCATCATCAGCTGTTAGAGCTGCGAGGTTGCCGTTTACCACTTCCGCCACGTTGGCTGAGCCTCTCACAACTCCAACAAACACGCCCCTTGCCAAACTCTGAGTTCCAGCTTCTAACCCCTCAATGAATTGCTTCGGGCCGTGAACCGCTCCCTGAATAGGTTCGTAGAAGAAGTCTCGGACTCCTGATCCGACGTTTGAAATGAAATCTGGAAGATGCAGACAAAAGTGATATGTGAGCATTCCTGATCTGATGACGACTCCCGCGACAGGGGTGGTACACCTTTTGCTTCACTTACCTGCGGGTGCACCAAGAATAGCGAGACTTCCCACAATTCCAAATACCTGTTTCGTCAGCTGCGAGGAGTAATGCGTGCCGATGACGCGGGTCAACGCTTGTGGAGCTTCAAAGACATGGCTCACGACAAAAGACGTGAACGTGATGGGTGCATCTGCGATACTAGCCATGCCTCTGATGAACTGAAAGATCATCATGCTCTCTGATCCCGGATTCCATTCCATCCACTCCTGAGTAAAGGTCAATGCCAACCTGACAGGATGCAAATGCAACTGTTCAAAATATATTCTGCCCGAATTGGCGGTGTGTATAGTCCTTTCGATCCCCCGTGGCGCTCTCCGATCGGGCTTGGCAAACTTCTTCCCCATCGTTGTGGTTAGATTCGAGACCCAATCCGGGGGTTCGTCATTCTCTTCGTGTGCATGCTCCATGATTTTCAGCGGTTCAATAAACTCTGCAATCTTTTCCGCGGTTCTGATCGAAATCATGGTTGAGTCTTCGTATACAATCTGTCACACGTCACCCAGCGACTCAACGTACCTTCTATCCAAGAATGCATGTATTTCTAAAATACGAATCGCCGCATATCGAAATACCAACGTAGTACTGTGTTGCTGTAGTCGCCGCACGGCGGACATATGGAGGAAGGGCTCACTTTCGTTTGACCTCGGGCAAAAAATCTGGTGTCATGTTAGCAGACCGTGCGCGAATCATACCTGATTCATCCAGAAAGAAGAAGCATTGGTCTTACCAGTACGGGGTGAATGGACTTGTTGACGTGATTGTCAACCTGGAACGATGATAGGAGACATTCGAATTCGTGGTAGCCCTCACGGCTTTGGGAGAACGTGAAGAGTATCTGATCCATCTGTGCAAGCAGGATTTCACGCCCGTGTCTCTCGGGATCTGCGTTGTCGATGATACTCACAGTGGCAGCTGGCACTTCCACTTTCAAACTAAAAGAAACTTCCTCGTCGTCCTCCTCATCAAATGTATCCATGAATCCACCAACGACACCCGCCTTGGCTCTGGTTGCAATCCCTTGCTTTCGCAACACGTTGGGAGGAAGACCACTCATGCGAGGAGACAGTTCAAAAAATTCTATCACTTTCGTGGAATGCTCTGGATTTGCAGGGAGAGGGTGAGTACCGGTATGGCGGAATGCACCTGTGATAACACGTTAGCGCAGCACGAACATTCGTGCTTACCTGCGCCAATTTGACAACAAATCTCTTTGTTACCAATGGAAAGTGTGCTCAATGACCCCATTGCATCTACCTCCAAGAATGCTTTCTTTGCTTTCTCCTCAAATCGCGGTGATCCACTTGAAACACAAGTCCATTCGAGTATGTGAGGTTTCTCGGGATCGTCGAAACCAAAGCACGAAACTGATCCACCCCCAAGAATCCAAACGAACTCTTCGATGCGATCTAGCCCAAGGAAGGAACTACAAGCAAAAAAGGGATGAGCTGGAGTCCCAGGATTCAATTAAAGAGCCACGGTAGCTGTGATAGCTGTGAGTGAATTCTCTCGTTACTTTCTTACCGAATCATTGGCCCGACTTCGGAGGCACACTCAAATACTCGTCCCTTCCTGCTGGAGCTTCCTTCCAGCTCTGTTCCACTCCCTTGAGAACAAGGTTCAATGGCCAGAATGTCATTCCCACCTTCCAGCTCACTTGGCTCATCCTGGAGAGGCTGTCGACAAATGATGGTGTCGGCTGTCCGATTGCGCAGAATATACAAGGGATTCGACTTCTCATTGGCGCTCCATATCACCACAACAACTGCAGAGGATTGCTCCTTTGTTGCAAGCCGAACTTCTGCCTGTACAACCATTGGCTTCGACGAAAGTGAGTTGTCTGTTGGCAATCGCATCGAGGTGATTCCAATGCGGTCAACCTGTATGCACCCATTGGTCCAACATCTGTGGTACGTTCGAGTGTCTCGTTCCTCAGCAGAGGGAGCACCGAGGTGGACTTTCGACGAACCTGTCTTCTTTTCCCAGTGAAATGGTACTGATGATTGTGAAGGTATCAGTGTTTCCATCCCGAGGCAGCCTGCTTGCGCCACCACTAGCTCTCTGTGCAACAGGTTGACTATCTGGTACCTCGGCAACAGGGTGATCAGCTTGGTTCTGGCAAAGAGCCCAGGGCAAACGGTGACACTGATGGCAAGTTCAAACTGTCGAGGTCCTCCAAGTTCCTCGACGCTGAAAACAGTCTTGGGAATCACGTTGCTGACATCCATCGGCGAAACCCACTTGGAACGAATGCTTTGTTTGCCCTTGTTGTACCTACCGTCACCAGCTCCGCTCTCGATGGATAACGCAAACTTTTCACGCTGTGAAAAATATAAAGACATTCCACTCATACCAATCGACCATTGATGCCCCTGCACTTGCATGTCCGACTGGATGTCTGGGTCTCTGGCCTCTTCCGAGAGCAAATGAGACCTTCTGGATGTTTCGTTGTCTGGCACGGAGCCCAACAAATCCGTAAACCCTTCGCAGAAACGGCAACCAAAACCCGTCTTGTCCAGAATCCAATATTGCGAGTAGACCCGGACAGTCGGCGAATGTCCACATTCAACGCTGATGATAAGGATCAGCGGGTCGCCCACTTTTCCCGTCCGCTCAAAACGAACCATGCTCTTGAATTCTTCGGCGTAGTCGGCGTCAGATTTGTTGGAATTGATGTGCCAGTCCTCTTCGTCTTCGCTCGGTCTCCATGTGTGCGACTTTGGATTCCGATTCACAATCCGTTGCCACGGGGACCATCTGTAGCCAGGAACCCTCAACGAAATGTGTGGTTTCGACATTGGGTCAACAGCTGTGCATTTGCCCTCCTGGCCCGAGGCAACGCTAAGAGTCTCGGCTTTTCCGAGTCGTTTGCCACTGCTACCAATGACGGGGCGTGTATCCCCCACCCTCTCTGACGCTCCTCTAAGCACTTCTCCCAGCTGGCATTCGAGCTGGCATGGGAGAAGATTGATAACTTTCATAACGGGCTCAATGGTAACATCGACAATACCTTTGTTGCTCTTGACGTGCAGCAGAAAATGCAACGTTGTGTTTGTAACATCTTGAAGGTTCATCGTCGTCCTTACATACGTCGTCGATGTGGGACTTGTGGGTAGAATCATGACTCGCTCACTCTTTGCGAAATCACTAATCGATGTTGTTTCCTTCGTGCCAAGTTTTCTTGCCAGTCTCAGATAGACGGCAGATGCCAATGTCACTGGTACAAAGACGGATTCTCCGGCATCCGCAGTTCCAACCTTTTTGTCTTCGTCCCATGAAGGGCTGTATACGAAGAATGTAAGAGGCATGGACGTGCAGTTGTGGAATGAAAGCGGACTACGAACCCTGATGGAGTAGTTTCCAGTTTCATCTCGGCTTGTTTCCCACACAATCTTCAACACTCTCTGTGGATCATCGAGCCTTGGCGGTTTGACCATTCGCGTCCTTGTCCAGCGCCTTCGACGACAACAGTCGCCACGAACGTAGAAACGCCTGTTGCGAGTGAAGGTTTCAAAGTCTTGCTCGTATTCCCAACCGTCTGCATCAGTCGATTCTCCAAATTTTCCACTGAGATCTGCGTTCCAATCGTTGACCCAGATCCAATTGCTATCTGGAAGCATCACTCGTTCTCGAGCCATTCGCAGGATGCAAGTCATGTCGGTCCATTCTGGTGAGTCATTCTTCAAATAAGGTCGCAACCAGTTGCTATTGTATGGAGCCCGAGATGTTGCCGTCTTCCTTTCCAGCTCAGGATTTGACACCCGAAGGAGAAAGTCGTCGTTGGCTTCGCTTTCCTTTTGATCAACCGGTGCTTCAGCGGAAAGATAGTGCGTAAAATTGATAATGTCGTTCATCTCGTCTTCCGGTGACCAAACGCTTGATGAGAGAAGATCTCTCCCTTTCTGCAGGCTGAACACATCGGCAGTACTGCTGCGGAGTCTCTGAAGCTGGAAACACCACTCGATCACTGGCTCTGCATTATAGTAAGCAAAATCGGATATGAAATCGTTGCGAGTCAGATCACTTTGGACTGTTTCAGGGCTTGATCTTCCTTTGCTGCTCGTCCGACTACCCATACTACGAGTCGTTTCAGGGGTCGAAGCCGGCCGCAGTGCAAAAAGGCTAGCCGACTGAGTTTCAATGGAAAGATCCACGATTGGTTCTCTTTTGCCAATCAAAGCGCTACTTGCTGGAGCCAATCGAAGAGAGAGCTTGGTTGGTTTCTTGACCGGTCGCCTTTTCTTTCGGGGACTTTCAACGGACATCACAGAATCTAGTAGAATGGTGCCACCGTCGGGAACGAAACCTGGTTCAGGAACATCGAATCGTACCGTGCTGCTCTGCATCTGTTGCCGTTCTACGGTTTTCGGTGGATTGATGAAGAGATCCAGACCCGTTTTATTCTCAATCCTGACATCATGAGACTCGGTTGCTCGACGGAGACCAACTGTAGACAACACCGATGGCGTCAATGCCTTCTCCGCCGTGTCAACACTTCTTTCATCATCTTTGCGACTGCGCAGCACATCAAAGTCCATGTCCGCAAAGTCTCGCAAAAGAATACCGGTAAGGTTCATGTGTATTGCTCCCGCAGGAGACAAGTTCAGTACCACTTCATTGGGCATTTGGTCCACGGAAAGACCAACGCTCACAGGTTCAAGAGCATATTCCCAGTCACCTACTTGAGAATTGTAGAAGTTCACAGCAAGAGATGCACTGCAATCGCCAGAAAGTGCAGACATGCATCCCTCAAGTTTCCCCTTGAGGCGACGGATGTTGAAGTCAAGCAAGTCGGTTGCGCCATATTTTGACCGATAAGCTCTCAAAAGAACAAAGGAAAAGGAGTGAATTTCGACCCTGATGCGTGTTGCAATTCCGGTACCCCTCTTCTGATACCGAATCAGCGACAAGGCAGAGCGTTTCGGCTTGGGCGTTCGACCAGGCACGGAATTTGGCTGCCCCTGAAAGTCAAATGAACGCAAGCGCTCGAGCATTTTCCGGGAAATGCTGATTAGAATCATCATATCATTCGGAGTTAGGCACGACTTGAGAGATTCACAGTCCAGAGAGATCTCTTGTGAGACAACACAACCAAGGTTTTCAGTTGCATAAACGACCCTGAATTCTGCTCCAGTTGGCCCAATCATAGGAGGAGCCTGCGTTGGTGGTATCCTTTCGAAGGCGGTGTTGACTGATGCCGACAAATTGTCAAGACTGGCATGCAATGTTTTGGATCCGGTCCCATCGGGGTTCTCTACAGACTGAAACATGATGAGTGCATTCGACGAAACTTGAATCACGGCGAAGGAAGTTGCCTGCAGCATGTGCTTCTTCCTTCTGGGTTTTCTGTCCGTATACGTCTTGGCAGGCAATGTCGGACGTCCTACGAGAAGTGTGCTCTCTCGGATCGTAACCTTGAAAAGAATGCTCGAATCTGATGCTGGAGCATCGTCTTGCCCGACTAAAGATGAAGCTTCCGTTAAGACATCAGAGTTGGTCGGCGACGGTGGTCGATCCGACAAATCATGATGGATGCTCATACTCTCAGAATCTACAAGAGTACAAACAGCTACACGGTTCAAAAGCACCAGAATGTAAGAGTGTGCGCTCGTGTCGTTGAGAAAATGAACTGTAACCGACTGACTTACGTGGACGGTCTCTTCGTCTTGCTTTCCGTCCTTCCTCGTGTACCTTTCGCTCCATTTCCTTCGTCATTAGCTGTACGAGCTCGATAATCCTTCGAAGGCCCTTCAGGAAATCTTTCAAGGTGGTCGGAGTTACCCTCACAACAACAGAGTCAATGTCGATTTCAACTTCGTCAAGGTGCAGATTGCCATCATGGAACATCGATGCGGAAACGATGTCTCTTCGCTTGGTATTTTCGTCTGAGGCAGAACCTGACGTCTCGCGACCGAGCGAGCCAAAGGGAAACCGAGTTTTCCATGCACTCGGGAGTTCACCAGGAGTGTTTAAACCCTGCAATATACAATATTGAGACTCATCGGCTTCGTGTTTTGTCGCTTTCATGGGGACATAGCTGGATGCGTCTCTCAATTGAACTATCGATGCATCCCTCATCAAGAATTTGGTGGTGGACGAATCATGCACTCGTGACCGTCGTACTGAAATTCCGAATACCTCGACAACGTAGACGCGAATGGCAGGAGATATATCCATCATAGACAACGACTCCAAAGAGGCAAGGCTTTTATCGTCTGAAAAGTTGCACGAGGCTTGTTTCGAGTGGCCTTCTAGCGCAATCTCGATTTTCTCAACCGAGATGGAAAGGTTTTGGGGTATGGAAGTCCCTTTTTCGAATGACGCCGCCAGGGAGCCCTTCTCCGTGTCCACACACGAAGGTTTTCCCCTTTTCCTTCCATGCTTCTTGTTTCCTCTTCTCCGGGAGGAAACTCGCCGTAGGCCCTGTGCATACCATTTTCCTAGAGAGCGGGCTAGGCCTTCCGCGTCAACAAGATTCAAAGAAATAGGGCTGATTTTGATTTCAATTGTCCTAACGAGAGTCCCACCTGATCCACCGTATCGGTTGAACTCAGGGATTCCCTCATCGGGCACTTCTTGGTCACGAGCAACGCAATTCACATGAAATGGGCGGACAATGGAAGTGCTCGGGTTAGCCTCCAAACTCGCGTGGGGAAACTGAGTAGTTTCCTGTAACTGCGACAGATTTCGTCCCCTCAGAAACGCGCAATGTAGGTGTTCCGCATTGAGATCCCAATTCATATTCGTTTGCCCCTCGCCTTTCGTAGCGTTCAACTTGAAATGCCCTGCATCCAGAAACAATGCCCCCGCCAAGCCCTTTGACGTGATCGGCAACCACACTTTGGGTGCTGCTATATTCACATTCAAAGCCAGAGTTGCAGGAGAGAGAAGTGCCAACTGTGCCTTCCTTGCAAGTGGAGTTGCGGCATTCCTTAGGTTACTTGTGATATCAGTCTTTTCCATTGAAGGCGCAGCAAAAAACTCAGCAACTGCGTCGACGCAAGGAGTCGTCCAAACAAGTGTCGCAGGATGTGCTGCTATGCTCAGTTTCACAGAACCAATGTCCTTGGAAGCGGCTACACGACAGACAACCCCAGCAGGGGGCAAATCTTTGAAATTCTCCACTTCCAACAGATCAGGTCCCACCATCGATGCGTCGCGAAAAGTCGAGGATGGCACGGCGGAGATTTGTGCGTCCTCACCCAATCTTGCGTCAGTGCTTTCAAGGTCCGAGAAGACTTCGTCTTCGATTGGTCTAACAATGAGCACTTGTTTTCCCATCCTGCCATGCTTGGACCGTTCGGAACTCAGTTTGTCCACTACCTCGCATTTCGTGACATCAAAGAAGAAATCTTTGGCTCGGCCAAAAGATCGCGCAATTCCGCTGGTTCGAAGAGACAGTTGAACAATCGGGGTGTCCCCCGTGGCGCGAAGCAAGGTCAGCGTAGCTGCAGCATCTGCCAGCTTGAAGGCGATGTACCATGTTTTGTTGCCGAGTCTCAGCGTCATTGCTTCCAAAAGTGACATGGACTTGCCCGTGTCGAGCGTTTGCGACTCAAACCCCGACAACGATGTAGTCAATGTCGAAGATTCCTCCGCCAGTGGCTGTGTCATGTAATCATCGTCACTGAAACTCCCGTAGTATGAGTTCTGCATCTTTCGTTTCCACTTGCTGCTTCCGAAAAAGGAGAAGCGGCCAAACCCTTTGCTTTTCGATTTGGCACTTTTTGGGGTGCCACTGCTGACTTCTTTCGGGATAATATCAGTGCTCTTCTGTAACTCATAAAAGCTTCTCAGAGCAAGCAAGTGGAATGCCATCAACGCTTCGATTGGAAGCAAATCTTCCAGTGCCAGCAACTCCAAGGATTCCTTTTCGTGGAGTCCACCATGAAAACCTGCTCCCTCAGTAGAAAGCTTTTTGCATACAAGTTCAATGTATCGATCGCGATTTCGAACAATTTGTAAGACATCTTGCCATGGTCTCCAGTTGGGTCTGCTCATGACACAACTAATGGCGTAGGCCCACCAAGCTCGCGGGTTGTTGTGTATGGACACCTTTGGGCGTTGCCGGAGCATGGTATCAAACCGTTGCTGTGACACCATTGCTTTTTTGAGTGTCTGATATTGGATGTATTGATGGGGGCGTACACGAAGAGCCAAGTGGAATGGGAGAAATTCTGCAGAACAGGAGATGGGTCCTGGTAATGTGCGGTCGCTTGTTTTGATGCGAACTTGGGCTGAGACTGATTCACAAATATATTGGTGTCGTTTGGGCTCGAGAGATTGTGGAATTGGTGCATTCAAGGACGTCCTGATTGCTTGTCCCGGTTCTTGCTGGTTGGCGAGTGCGTCCATGGCAGCCGAGATTCGGGCTTGGAGCTTTTCCGCAGAAAGCTTTTGAACGTTTCCCGTCAACACATCCGTTTCCGAAAGCAGAATGGGGGGTTCATCGTCCCAGTACATTTTCAGATTGATGAGTGAAGCGATTTTGTTGTTGCGTGCGACATATTCGTTGGGTCCCAGATGATCTGGTTGCTGTTTGGAAAATCTCTTGCTGCCCTTTTGGTTTTTGGAGCTGAATTTTTCGTGGCTTCCCATATCCCATTGCTCGTTGGCAGTTCTGAGAACCAAACTATCCAGAGTAAAACCGAACGAAAAGGATCGCTGGTCCGCCGGCAGATTGGTTTCTACTGGTGCCTTTTTGGGAGTATTTCTGCGATGATCCGGATGACAGAAATCCAGTCCTCTCTCGGAAACTTCGCATCTGATATGCACATCCGTCATGTTGGCTTCCATATTTCGTAGGACCTTTTCGCGTAGTTTTACTTTCCAGTCTCTGGGCAACTCTGGCAGACGCTCCGAAGTACTGCTAAAATGATCTTTGGAGTTTTTTTCTTCGTCATCTGTCATTTCACTCCCTTGATAAGTGGAATCCATTTCATTCAAATCTGTCACGAGCGAGTCAATGATAAAGTCGTCATCCTCTTCCAGTTCCTTGCTAGAACCACCTTTCTTTTTGCTCTTGCTCTTTCGCAGCTCTCGTTCCACTTCCTTGACAGCTCTGCGAATTCTCTTGGAAGGCGGTCCCTCCCCTGGGATCCTTCCCGAAAAATAATTTCGTTCCAACCGTGCCAGCACACTTCTCTTGGCCCGCGTCCGAAGAGTACACCGAGGATCCAGCTGTGATCCAGCCCCGTACATTTTGGTCGCCGTCGATGGCATTAATGGAACACACACCAGGTGAACCCCCTCCACTTGAAATCGTGTCGGCTCCTTTTCCAGATTTTTCCAGGGGACAATGATCTTTACCGTCCGTGCCCAACAGGAAAGGATTCCAAACCCAGATAGACCCACAGCTCCCAAGATATGGCTACCAATCAAGTCGCCGTCTAATTGTACATTCTCCAACTTGATCTTTCCCCGAATCGCCGCAATCTTTAGATTGTCGTGTGACATGTTGAGCACATATTCCCCAACGACCTCCTCCATGGCCTGGATGATGACCTGTTTCGCCATGGTACGGTGTGGTCTCCGATGTCTGACTGACTTGGACAAAGGAAACCTCCGGATTTCAGTTGTTCTCCGGACCTGCTACAATATAAATAATTGTGGGGAGTAGCTTGGATTCAAAACAAAAAGCTGGTGCAACAGAATGATGGCTATTTTTTGGAAGATGTAGGAATCAAGGATGCTTTTGGAGGGACATGGGGAACCGCTTTCGACCTACTGGTACGAGCTGTACCCTCTCTTCTTCTGTCGTCCTTTATTGACGTCGGAAGTTCGATGCCTTTCACGGGGTGCTTGATCCTCCTTTAGGGCTTGGAGTTCATTCGACCGTGAGAGAGGGGTGGCAAGGTGGCAATGTGGCAATGAAATAAAGCGTGAAGCCAATGAAACATGCGAATCCCACCAATCCGTTACAGCGATCCAACCAAAACCAAAAGATTTAACGAAGAGCTGGGTGAGATGCTGCAACATTCACAGAGAGCAGACTGCAGAACAACGCGACGCTGCGGTCCGACTGTACCATGCATGTATCGGTACTAGTACCGGTACTGTACCGATAAATACTCCCGGTACCACTCCAGCTAGCTAGTAGCTAGTAACATGTAGACTAGCTAGCTGGATAGATCTGTATCGGTACCTACACTAGCTAGAGTACCGTACGTAGTAGCTCTGGTAGCTACATGTGTAGCCAGCAGCACATGCAGTTTTTTGCTTTTCGTCCAGTCTCAGAGAGTCCTGAATTGATGAGGAGGGAGACAAATCATACTAGTATCTTGTACATTGTAGAGTACACAGCTTGCAGACCGTTCGGTAGATGGCAGTCAACATTGCCTTGACAGAAGGTCTCTTGTTCGGCAACGCTTTCCATTGGAAAGAACGTACCCTCGAAGCATACACAGATGCTCCTTTTTCAAGCATCGCCCTACAATCTACATTGTTGTAAGTACGTGTGCAAGCAAGAATTGGATTCCCAGGAGGAAAAGGGGAGCTACCTGCCTGGCCTATCTGCCCGGCCAGCCCTCGCAAGGAAGGCTGCCGGTACTACTAGGAAGGCTTTGTATGATGCTACCATTGAAAGGATGCAAACGGAGTTTGTTTAGTTCTGATTTCCTGACTTTATTATTACACCATTAAACCACCAACCAGCCACAGCCCAGCAGCCAACCTCATGGGAGAAGTTGGGTAGGGCAAGTGGGAAATCAAAACTAAGCAAACTTCCTTTTGCTGTCCTTGCGATGCTATCATACATAGCCTTCCTAACGACCAATTCCAGCGGTGTCCTCCCTGCTAGAAACCTCCTTTCACCAGATGCGTGAGTCATCATTAAACATTTAAAGCAATGCTTGACGAGGTGCTGGTGACCAGAGGCAGCTGCAGGCTAAGATACCTTGCTCCAAGACATCGAAGTAAAAATAAGAAAAAACCTGGAGATGCGTGTAGGACGAAGAGCTGTCCAAGTGACAATGCTGTGAATGGAGGAAACCTCTAAATGATGCCTACCGGTTCTCTAATACTGCAGAGAAGTATGGCTTGAAGAGGAGGCGACAAAATTCTGTGAGCCTAATAATTGGAAATGAAGTTTGAGATAACCCAAGGTAGTTTCACACGCTTCCTTTGCGGCGACTGGCACCTGTCGGCTTTTGATAAGTACTACTGTAGCTAGTAGGTGCCACTTCCTCATCATATCGTGGTGGCTTATATTGTTCTTTGCTGGGAGTGCAAGTGCGGACAGGGGTTGGAATTTTGTAACCATTCATTGACGCCCCGCTCGGAGGTGCAAAGTCTAAGGCAAAATTGTGCGCAGAAGATTGGGGGAACCCTCATCAAGTCATCTCTCCCCAAACCTTTATGCATACATGGCATCGAGGAGGATGCTGGTAGTACAGCACCACCGCTACAACATGTAGTCTGGCAGCATAGTCAAGACCCATACGGTCAGGTACGGTAGTGCAACAGTAGACATGGCCTGATGAAATTCTAGCCAGCCAGCCAGCCTGTTTGCTACGGTGTAATCTATTAGTGTGCTGGCTGCTGGGCGGAGAGGCAAATAGCCCTCCTCTCTTGGAGTACATGTAGTGGTACTGTAGCCAATGTATCCAGCCAGTCCAGAGCAACCCTACATACTGCACCCACTCGTGACGCTAATCTACCAGCAGCGTGGCGGCGGAGGAGAGGAGGGTAGCTGCCTGGCTGCCCCCATTTCCGCTGAAAAACGTCAAAGGCTCACTTTCATGCGTGAAGGGGTTGCATGAGCTTCTCTTGCTCTGTTTATCTCATTCCCACCTTCCTGAATAAAACTTTGCACAAGGTCTTGCGGAGGGCTCTATTCATCCGACCAGCCTTGACATCAAGCTGTCCCAAACCGACGAAGACTCGTCGCTCTGACTTCGGCTCAACCGACACCTTTCTCCCAACTCCCACATTGAGCAAGCATTGCACCGAGCAGCGTTTCTGGTCGTTGCTGGGTTTGTCGTCTTTGACTTTGCCAGGTCCTTGAGTATTCACAGGGTGTTGGACATGAAACCGTGCACCTCTCGGGTAAAACTGCTAAGCTTAACGCTCATATGACTTTGATAGTCTTACTATTGTTCCTTTGTACTCAAAGGATGCCTCATAACTCACTGGTTACAAAAAGAATATCAATTGGAGTCATTTCTCTCTAGTATCCACGGATGATCAACCAACAAAATTTCCAATGCTGGTAGCCAAATCCCTCTAAGTTTCTACGTGTGTAGGAATTGACGCAGTCCTTAGTAGCTACCAAGCGATGCAGTGCGAAAGAACCTTAACTCTAAGCTTACTTGCTGGCCTCTGAGGTCATTTCTCGCCAGATCCCCTTGCATTATCTGGCAAAGATACGCCCAACAGGTTACTGAACATGGGCTTGGGGGGCAACCATCCAGTCTGAGTAAGAATGTGTGCTGTATCGATAGAAGCCCAGCATCTTCAGAAAGCCCCTTCGACCTCTCTCTGGCTAGCTAGATTTTCAAAAGATCGGGGTCACTTTGTTGGATCTGGTAAGGATACCCCAGAGACTTTTGTAATAACCAGTATCGATGGTGTGAGTACATAGTATCTATAAAAAATTGTCCATAACCAAGCGAAAGATGAGCCAAGTATCCCATCCAATCTCTGGGCGTCATCAGCACAAGGACCGACCTCCCCAAACGGGTCAAGGGCCTCATCGTCGACATTACGTTGGGTCTCCCAAAAAGAAACACTCGGCCCCACCAGAAGCATCAGCTGCTACCGCGACTCTCGAAGAGGGTTCTGTCGACCGATACAACAGTCGTAGGGTATCAGTGTCGATCGGTGGCGGTTGTGGAGGGCCCAGTGGCCGCCGCAGTATGGCCGAAAGGGGCAACAGCTTCTCCTTACCATTCGACCACGGGGACGTTTTTGCCAGATCCCCCTCGTCGAGTCTCTCGGAATATGAGTTGGTGGGTTCTTCTCGACGTCATGAACCTTTGGACCCAACGGCTGCTGCTCTCGATGCCGCCATTCTGGACCTAACTCGGCGTAGGCTAGCAATGTCGGCTCCATCGGGCAGGCAGGAGCCACCAGGTGCTGTCACTGTGGCCCGAGAAACCACCTGGGACAGGGGTGTACCCTACACCACAAGTGCTAACCTTGCTGCTCGACAGAAACACTTACAGCAGCAGCAAAAGGAACTCGAACACAAGCAGAGGGAGTTGGAAATCCAGCGTCAACAGCTTCTGGCTGGAATGCAGGAGCATGCAAAGTCGACCAGTATCTTTAATGCTCATCAGAGTGCTGCCTCCATGAGTTCCAGCCAGCAGCAGTGGTGGGTCTGCCAGGTTTGTCATACCAAGGCGTTCGCTTCGCATGACGAGGCAATGCAGCATGAGCTCACTTGCTGCCCTGAGCATCACAGCTTTGATTCCATCGAAGTTGTGCCGATCCCATCCGATTCTAGTTTGGCGTTGCCTCCATTGGCGGCCGGGTATCCTGTGAGTCCTAGTTTGGAGTCTTCCAGCTTGGAAAGTCCGCCAGCGGGTCCCTTTACCTTGCTGAAGGAACCAATTCCGTTGGCCATGTCATCCGACAAAGATTGGTTGACACCTCTTCATTGCTTTGTGAGGCGCCAGTGTGTTGAGGTCTTCACGGCTTCGCAAAGTGATGTGTCAACGCCTTCCAAGGGGAAGAGGAAGCCCATTCAGGTTGGACAGGTTGGTATTCGCTGCCCTCACTGTCATTCGGGAGAAGCCAAGAACAAGCCACGCGAGCGTGGGTCTGTGTATTATCCTACCACCATTGCTTCGATCTACAACGCTACAATGAATCTCTTGCAGCGACACTTGCATAGTTGCTCCTGTGTCCCTGCAAGCGTTATGAGTCGCTACGAAACGCTAAAGAGCGACGATGCTCGTAGTGGGACATCCAAACGTTACTGGATCGAGAGCTCCTTGAGTCTGGGCCTCGTTGATACTCCCAGTGGAATCCGTTTCTCGGCGCTTCCCCCGCCACCACTACCAGGCTTAAGCACCCAGCAGCATTCCACTGGCTCTTACAGCGTCGAGCGACGCAACTCCAATGACTTCTTTTCGTCCAACAGCAACGCCGTGGCTGACTTGAAGGGTGACGCGGACGCCCTTCCGTTAGACCCACCTGAAGATGACGAGGACGACACCGGCGATGGAAGTATCTCAGGAACCGAGCAGACTCTGACCGAATCTGCACCCTTAGTGATGCCTGATGATGAACCTTATTCCACCAAGTTTTCCTTCCACTTGATCAGTCAGATGCAACCTTGTGTTTTCACAGAAGCGGATCGTCTTGGAAAACGCAAAGGATTGCCTCCTGGCTTTCCTGGTTTGGCCTGCCGTCATTGCTTTGGCGGTTACGGATCTGGTCGCTTCTTCCCGTCCAGTATCAAGACGTTGTCGGACACGTCCAAGACATTGAATGTTCTTCACAACCACATGATGCGATGCCGCAAGTGTCCCCAGGAAGTACGAGACACTTTGGAAAGGCTTCGCAAAACTCATGACGATGAGCGCAGCAACATGAAGTTTGGAAGCCAAAAGGCATTCTTTGCCAAAGTGTGGGCTCGTCTTCACAAGAGCGGATCTCCCGAGTTGGGCAAGCGCAAGTCTGCCGCCGCTCCTCCTCCCCCTCCGCCTCCCGGTGATTATTCCCCTTATGCCATGGCTCAACCTCCGATGGCGACCCAATCCTACTTGGATCCTCGTTACTTTGGACCTCCCATCACGCCGCCAGCTGCTGGTCATTATGGGTACTCGCCCCACCATGATTCTTTCTCGATGCTCGACGTCTTGGGATCTCCTCTTGAGGCGCCCGACACCAAGCGCCGTCGGTCAACTTAAGCTCAGCCGGAATGCCTCCTCTTTGTGTACTAACAGTCAGAATGCATACGTTAGTGTTGCACAAGCTACGAAGCTGGTGACTGGAAGCGACGACTACATACTTTATTAGGGGTAATGGATAAGCGACAATACATGTTTTAGTCTCCCATCAGACTACTAATTGGCTGGAAGGAGGCGACCTTTTCGTTGCGACATTTTCTGTCTTAGATATAGCTGAATGCTCCGATAAAAGCCGCAACTAAAGCTAGCTTAAATGGCAGGAAAGTTCGTGGCTCGTGGATGATCGCAGGAAGGCGCATACTAGTAGCTTCATCGTTCTTATTCGTACTGTAATTTGTTCAGCATGAAGGGAAACGGCTTGATGATGCTGTTGGGCGCACAACGGCGGCTGGGCTGCTTTAATTATTGCTATTACATCTGCTGAAAGCCGACAAGTCATGCGTCGTAAACTGCTACAGTAAGTTGCCCATCAGATCTATTGAGAGCCAAGACAAGTCAACCCCACTCAAACCGAATACCTTAGACATGCTACAATAAGTTGACCACCACGAGTTTAAAATAATGCAGTTTTATAAAATTCCTAAATCTGTGATAGAGTAGCAGACATGCAAAATGGCCTGCCCAAGCACCTACAATTTGAGCAAGTACCAGTACTTCATCAACAGCAACGTTCATTCTTCCAGCATCCATCCACCCAGATCAGAAACCCATCCAGCCGCAATGTTGTTTTGTCCCAATCTTATGAATTCTTCCGAGCTAGCCTTCCCGGCCAATATCGCAGCAATGAACCCTCTTGAGCCCACTCCAAGGAGACACAGTTTGCCGTTTCATGCTCTGAACAAAGTTCATTTGCATTTGCTGCATGGACTGTGGCATGGGCGGCAGTTGTGGCATCGTGGGTAGCAAAGAGTTGGCGCTCCGGTTGCTACAATTAATATTGGTTTTAGCCACCTGTTCTTCACCGACTTGTCTTCGTTTGGGATCAAACTGAGCCACCCAGACTTCGCAGTTCTTGAACTTGAATGGGACCCCAAGCATGGTCTTGAAGTGCAGAGAATGTCCGACAACAGCCACAATGTCTTCTGGCTGTTTCTCGAGCCACTGTTCAAACTGCTTAATGCGCCGCGTAAAGGATGATGATGTGGGAGCGACATCCTTGAGAATGACGTCTTGAGGGACTTCTTGGGGTTGCCGTTCGACCAAAAAGTCCAATTCTTCCACTCTCTTGACACAGGACGGCTTTTGCAAAGGCTTCGCAACACACCCCAACAGTCCCTCGCAAGTCTGCCGGGCTCGGACCAGAGGCGAGTGCACCACCAGCTGGATTTTGGCCTTTTCCAAAAAGTTGTTCCCTTGGAGTAGGTTCCCCATGTGTTTTATTTGCCGTGCTCCGATTTGGCTCACATCGGAGTTGACCTGTGCGGGGACATTCAACAGCTCAAACGAGGCGTTTAGGTCTTCCGTGGACGGCATGGCCCCCGTTGATATCTGCTCAAAGCACTTGGTCAAGGACGCTCTTCTACGATTTTCATCCGACTCGGCATGTCGGATAAAGTACACCGTCTTGACACCTTGACGAGAGGCCCCTTTGGTGAAACAACCTCGGCCACCTTCATGGTTGCTGGCGTTCAAGTTCTCTTCGTTGGGAGCTCCCATCTCTCTCTTCCAATGCCTACGTCGACGACTTCCTGTACGATTATAAACGGCTGAAGTCTTTGTGGCAGCAGAAGAGAGACGCCCCGCCAATACCAACCGAAGAGAGATGAGGGACTTCAACAATGTGACTTGGCTCGGAACAGTTACACGAGCTGGTGTGGAGGTAAAAGTTCCCCACCGTATTTCGCTCCCAAAGTTTGTCACTGGCGTGGGGAGCTGTGGCAAGAAGCGTACTGATTGGTTGGTTGAAACAACGGCAAATGTTGGAACATGCCGAAAGGTTGGTTGGCGGGAACAATCCCTTTCTGCGACGTGCGCGCCATACTTAACTACCAAAGTGCTAAGTACCGAAAATTTTGACATCCACGTGGGTGGAGGAGCAGTAGCTCACAATATCACGACGATCCCCACTTGTCTCTTTGTTGACGACGGCCAGACCTTTTTTCCTTGGCTCCCGCGGCTCGAGCTTGCCTTTGGTCAGTTTGCTGTTGGGACCAACGGTGCCTGGTACCGCTTTCTGGTGGTAACACAGAGAGAAGCAGCCGTATCCATACCGTATGGCATTCCTTGAATGCAGGATCTCTGAAGCTTTTAACACGGTGCGGTATGGTAAGGTGCGGTACAGGACAGTGGGCACAATAATCCTCAACGAAAAATTGTCTGCAAAAATCCTGAAAGACTGTCCACTGATAATTCAGAAGTAATACTCTAGAATACTGAGAGTGTTCGGGAGAAGTGTTCAGGAGAAGTGTTCCAGAGAAGTGTTCTAACTGGGCACTTCTAGTTGGTGCCTACCGTATACACACTCACTGTGTGAACTGGTACCTACTACTACCAGTACCTGGTCTGGTATTGTTCATTGGCAGCATCCCAGACCCATGGCCGTACCGTACCGGTATGGTACCTAGAGTCTACCGTACCGGTACGGTGCGATTTACCACCAACAATCGGTTCCCGTACTAGTACTGGTACCTACCACCGACAATCGCTTTTTCCCAACGGTACGTCTGGCTTATTATTATTTTTATTATTACTATTCGTGAGGTCACCTCACGATTTTATCATCAAGGGGGTCTGGGGGGTGGCTCGTGCAATTTACTTTGGCTCTTTTGAATAGGGGTAAAGAGTACAAAAGCTGATTCTGCAATTATGAGGCCTTCTTGAAGAGCTTTTGGTGGGTTAAAGCATACACTAGTAATTTGTATGGCTTGAGTGAATTGAAATTCTGCAGCTTACTTTAAACCATCACTGCTGGTTACGGTTTGAAATACAAGCTGATTTAACACCAGTTTCACTAATAAGCTAGTAAGACATTTTAGGGAAATTCATTAAATTCCTAGGAATACAGAAGATTGCCGAGGTGCAAGGGAGAAGGGAGAAAGGAGAAGCCCCGCTTGGTGCTTGGTGAGGTACCTGAGCTGGTACCGGTACTGTACAAGCCCAAGGCACAGCTGTGTTATACGCCAGGTTGACCTTGATTTTTAAGGAGGGCAAGCTGTTTTAGAAAGTGTCA